CCTATGATCGTGACGACCACGGGCCCTGGGGGAAATGAAATAGTAAATACTAGTACCGTTCGCTACTCTCCCCGTTTCCTGGCCGAGGTACCTACGTACAACTTTCCTGCCGCTTGATATCTTTACGTAGGGTCGGGCATTGATTGCCCGTTTCGTACGTATGATATGTATTGTATGGATGGATGTCTGTACATGGCGAACGAGATCCAAAGTCCAAAAAGGGCAGACTGACCGACCGACCGACCGCTTCAGAGAAGGCATCCCTTCAGCTCGCAAAATGGGCAGCAGCAGAGGGACCGTGTCCTGGATGGAGTTTTCTCATCCTGGAGACTGTAGATCTTGTTAAACATGGCAAGAATGATATGTCACTCTCTAGTTAGTCAAGGCTTTCAAGGGATATAGTACTACTACTTGTTATTGCCTTGATCATCCATGTATATTCATATCCCTCGGATTGGCTGTCCCCATTGTTATCCCTATGTTCGAAATATTGTTGTTCTTCGCGCAGGGTTCATTCCCAAAGATACGGCTGCCATGACTTCTGGCATTCGCACAGTACGTAGTATACTGTACCGGCCACGAGGCTACCAGGTCTGTCGTTCCAGTGATGCCCATGCCTTTCTCTGCGTCACCGCATTCGTCCAGCAGTCTATCACTTCCAGTTCTGTAATCATCATCGTGACAGTTTTCGTCGTGCCAGAACGGATACAATGAGACAGCCAGGCACGACATGTCCCTTCTGAGGATCACGCTTCTGCTTGAGACTGCTTCAACTTTCCCCCACCTGGAACAGTTCTCAGCTGGAGCGTTTGGTCACCGGGACGCACCATTGAACCATGGGCTTACGGTGATGTCCCTCCGGTGGCGTCGAGAGCGTCTCTGAATGCTGGACCTCGCCGAATTTTCCAAATGTTTCGCAGATCCAATCAGCTCGACCATGTCGTGGTCTCCCCGTCAAGAGATCAGTGAACCTCCTTGTGCATCTGGTTCTGCTCTGGCCGATGGAGAGATCGGTAATAATTGGGAAGTGCAGCGACAGTGGCTGAGTCGGGCGCGTAATTTCAATATAGTCCTCAACGTCGTCCAGAACTTAACTGTTGAACTAAGAACTTCTCAATGCTCGCTGTATGGTCTCCCCGGGCGCACATCCCGCGGGACCATATTGTCGGTCCCATGGATCAAGCCCCAATTCGACTGAGAGTATATGATGCAAAGTGGAAAAGAAATCCTTGGATAACTCGACGTGCCTCCATCGTGATCGTGCCCTGGCTAAAATAGACCGAAGCGTAGGGATTTTCGTAGTGAAGGAACAGCGATGATAGCCGAGAGCTGGAGATATATCGTAGTACTGAACTGCAGGTTGCTTGAGACGCACGATTTGCCGTGGTCGAAGATAGAAATAGCTTGGAAGTGGTTCAGAGCTCTAAAGCACACAGCGCTGGTACACAGAGGACCTAGCTTCTGGGTGATTTTGATAAAAGGTGCGCAGGGGTGGTACACATACGATAACCTTTCGATAAACCTATGCTGATGACTGTCGATATCTAGAAGTCTAAACAGTAGAGAACGCTGATCTACGACGCAGTCTCCCGAGGGAGAAGAAAAACAATCACAAACCAAAAAAAAAAAGAAAAGAGGAGTTATTCCCCCCATTCACTTTCTGAGGTGCTGTTCGAACCCGGGCTCGAACCGGGGACCTTGCCGGATCTAATGTTCACTTTAATGTGAACGGCATGTGATAACCACTACACCATTCGAACACAATTTTAACCTTAAAATTTGAGGTTAAATTACTTGACTGTGTTTTGTTGATGCACAGAGCTAGGCGGGATATGGACACCCGTGTGGGGGGCAAATGGGGTATACCTTCTCTACACTCAGAAACTCATTTCAATTACAATGGCCACCCTTTTCGAAATGTTAGCAGTGAATTTTTGCGTATCATACGTACTCACGATGTCGGGAATGAGTGTCTGCCCAGTGGTTGTTCCCGGACCTCTGAGAGAAATGTCGCTGATTGCTAGATCCTCTCTGCTGCGCCTGACGGCGCAGTGACACTGAACTATGCAAGGCACGAGGACAGGCACCACGCTGTTGAACACCCTTCTCTTCTCTTGCTTCTAGTGCATTGCATCTCTTTTCAGACTGGACCTGAGTATGGAGACGATGAGACAGGCCGAAAGAAATGAAGAGGCACGCGGGCAGTTCCATTCTCAACCTAGCACGATAAAGCAAATGAAGATGCTTTGTTGAAAGCAGGTAGGGATGACAACGAGTTAGAAGAGGATCTTTTAAACTCACCTTCACAGCCGTTAGATGGGGACAAGGCCTCTGGGTTACTGCTTCTAATTTTAGATTCGACAAGCAATATCCGATGTATACATTGTCGAATATATGGACCATATATCTGTTTACTATGTTGGCCGTCAGGTCGCTGCTCTGAAACTTGGAGAAACGCAGACAAGGTCACCTGGACCGATGCCCTCGCTACCTAGACTAATGTCGTAGACTATTTGACCTTCGACAATATTTAGGCGTTTACACTGCCCTGAAGGAAGCCTAAACCTGCATGATACTTGATGATACCTGTGATTGCTGAGACGAGCCCGAAGGCAGCTGTCAGTACTACACCCCAAATGGCGATCGTGAACCCATAAGAATGCCTCTGACGTTGATCCTCCTCCTCAAGTCTCTCTTTGAATCCTTGCAAGTCTTGCCCCAAAATATTGTCCGAGGTCGAAGTTTTCGCCAAAGAGCGCACCGGCTTCAGGGTCGAGGACTTCGTGTGATAATCCTAGCTTTTTGAGAAGTCTTGAATCGGAAATTCGTCGATTGGGTACAGGAATTGTGTGTTCTCCGTAACTCTGCTAGTACACCGTCAGAATAGAGTGAGCTGCATCAAATTCCAATCATTAGACTCTAAAGGGTTTACCGGAGTCTGAAGTTTCCCACCGCTCATTCACAACCCCATATCGCTCCCAAAACACTCGCATGCGAGAAGACTCTGATGATAGTTTTCGAAGCGAACATAAGGTGCTCAGATATATCACATGTACACGAGATGCGGAAGTGGCCTCTTTCTCTCAGGGTTTTCTCCAAAAAATCCATCCATAGCCAGTTGTTAGTCGGTTGCTTGATGATGTCGAAAGACTTCCACACCGCCTGTTACAATGCAAGGCTGTCATCGCTCAGATCGGGTCTTGTGAACAACCAAAGTCTGACCACAAAGTGCACAATGCGGTCCCAAGTTTCCCGCATAGTACGAGTTCGCAACCAGTCTGGAGGGGCGGCTTCAAGCTCATATCGGATGTCTGCGATCGTTGAATGCGGACATTAGAGAAATTCACAATTGCAATGACGCCTGACTCTCTTGAGGTCGTGTTGAGGCCGCCTTTCCCTAACAAATCTGAGGGGTTTGTATTATAATGATAGAAGCACAAGGCCGCTTTTTCTCTCGGAACAGCCTGAGGTGACGCAAAGCTCCATGTTTCGCAGAGGGTTTTCTGCAAAGGTTGGTCAGCGATGACTGGTTTGCTTATGATACCTGACAAGAACCTTGCATGGTTCATTCTGCAGAATGGGCTGGCGGCCTTACTGGGTTTCCAATGACTGAAACATCCAGATCTTCTATAGCTTACATAGTACATCCTGGTTAGACTGTAATTTCTATTGTTCGTCACCAACCCTACTGCGCCCCAGCCCCTGCCAGCGCTTTTCTTGCCCCAAAAAGCAGGCCATCATGTCGCAATGAGCGAGCCGTCAATAATCTGGAATCATCATCGAAATTTTATACTATTTGGATGGTCAGGCTCGTACGCCTTGGGCCGTGTGCTGCTGGATGTCCCCCTACATGCAATGGCTAGTATATTATAGCATCTATAACCACTCCTCCTCAGACATTGATATCTGACCCTACGATTTTCTTTTTCGCAACCTGTCCTACAATCTGGCAAAGCCTCATCTCGGCTCAACGAGACTCCTGCATTTCGTGAGTATGGCTCCACCGCCAGATTGAAGTGCTCTTCGCATGAGTAGCTGCTGGAGAGCTGGCTAGACAATGGCTCGAAAGTGGGATTCGGGAATATTCAGCCGTCATAGAATATAACAAATTCCACATCGAACGACCTGGTCCTCGCCGAGAAAGCATATCATCACTCGAGCTGTACTGATTGAGCACCACTGAGTCGCATGGAAGTGTCACACCTTTCATCATGATTTCCTCAAAGAACATTAAAAAGGCGCAGGAGACGTCCAGTCGCCTTCAGAAGCACCCGCGGCTCGCCAAGTTTGGCTTCAGTTATATGGCACACCAGGGGGTCTCTAGACTTAGGGCTGGTGAGGATCTAAAGAGCCTAGAAGATGGAGTGCTGTCCAAAGCTCCTGTTCCTGTCGCTGGCAGTGTCATGCGCTGCGACAGTCAGTTGGGCCCCCTTCAACGGCACTTACTGTCGCCGAACCAGCATATCAATCTACATTGTTCAAACTGTTCGCCCGACACCGACACAGACTGATGTGTGTGTGGGTTATGTGGTGTTCGCATTGGAGTGTAAAAAAACATTCTGGTACATTCCGAGATTGAGATACATGTCTTCATTCACGAGAAACAAGGTCCATTTTGATCTCGTCCGGGGCACACGGTCGATGTACCATCATCTGTACGGAGGACGCTGTCATAGCGCTCAAAAGCCCCATATTTCCATATTCATTGAAAGTCAGTAGGTAAATAGTGTCAAGGGCTGAGTGTGAATAATAATAAGAAGTAGTGGAAGATACGTTGTAGATAATAAAGGGCCAAGAAACCTTGAAGGCACAGTACGGAGTACGGACTTGTAATGTGAATATTTGTGTATTTTTAGTTCGTGAACCGCGGAGGTACATAGATTGACTATGAATCCCTCGTAAAATCAAATCAAATCTCTTTCTTCCCCTACCGAGCATCCTGAGCCGAAATATACCCATGTCATAATACCTAGCACCGAGTGGCTAGTAGGTTCTACAAAATGTCTTCAGAGAAGGTCAACCTCGAGACACCACCTAAATGTACGGCAGACTTTTGCCTTATCCCGCTCGGCACACCCACGGCTTCAGTGTCGGCGGAAATTGCTGAGGTCCAGCGCCTCATGAAACGCAGCGGATTGAAATATAGTATGCACTCGGCGGGAACTACTGTTGGTGAGTGAGAAATGCATCGCTTCTTTAATTCCCGAACGCGAGTCTCATACAACGGCATTATGCTGTGTATCGGGGTGCTACTTGGGTGACTTCAACTCAGCGATTCATCATCATCGCTGTCGTCAGCTACGGTGCTTTCATGTTCCAATACAACAACGCCCCTAAGCAAATTCCCTTGCTGATAGTTCTCCAACAGAGGGATCCTGGGACGATGTCATGCGATTGATCGGCCAGGCACACACACTGCTTCATCGGAAGGGCATAGTACGCATCCAGAGTGATATCCGCGTAGGGTCTCGCACAGATAAAGCACAGACTATGGAGGACAAAGTCGCGGCCGTGGAGAAGTTGCTAGCTGGGGATGAGGCCTGAGACGACGACCTAGGGACTGAGTACAGGGTACTCGCTCCTCAACCGCTTGTCAATCTTCGCATGGAAGAGATTTACGAAAGGTCGGAGAGTGGGATGGAATTGCACGTGGCCTACACTCCTCCTTGCACAGCGTCCAGAGCGAAAATGAAGCGGCAAAAGAAAAGAGTGAGGGTGTTTCGGGTTCAGCTGGGTCGATAACCATCCACCTGCACTCCGCCACAATGGGCAGGACGCCACACTTGTGGCTTCATATGTGGCTTGTGAGGCTGTGCAAGCTGTTTGGAAGTGAGGGTGATTACAAGCGTCGGCCAAATCAGCCAGGACCACGCATCTCGACCTGCGACAATGCTCTTTTAATTGGTGACAATGGCCCTCACTTTGCCGCCCGACTTCTTTGACATTTCTTTGAGCCAGATACAAGGCTTCGCGCCATCGTCTTTGTGACTCTTGTTGTTTCTGCCAGTGGCCCAGTGCTTGCTGACCGACTTTGCTCTCCCCAGCCATGCTATTTCCATCCTCAGTCCCCGACGAGCGATTGGACTAACCCTCACCGCGGCCCCTTCTTGAGCAAGATACTCCCCCAGCACTCCGTGCACGTTTGCATCGATTTCTCCTACCTCTTGATACATATTGAACGAGCTAAAGCCAGCCAAGAAACAGGCATGGCTGCAGTCACACAGACGATTGCAATCATTGACAAGTCGAACAAGGTTGTCAGTACAACCAAACAACTGAAAAATGTCTTCAAGGAAGCCAAGATGGCTTACTTGGAGCGGAAGGCCGAGATAGCAGCAGAACGAAGGGCGAGAGAAGAAAAAGAACTGAGGAAAGCAATGAAGAACGTGACAATAGCAGAAGATACCAGGTCAAATGCGTCCCGAAGGTCGCACAGACACCACAGTCACAGAACCGAGATTGATAATGGTCGACACCGACCTTCAGAGAGCCAACACCACTACTCACCAGAATTCGTGTGCACGCCGGCTCCTCATGCAGGCTCCGAGGCCACCGGTCCCAGGTCGCCAGAAGAAGTCTTCCCCAGGCACGTCGGCCTTGCAGAATTCAATCAAGAACTCTACGGTTACCATCACCCACCCCCAGAATACACACATGCCCCGCATGGAGCCAGCGGACTTGTTCGCAGGACGACCGATCTACCGCTCGATACTCATCGGTCAAATAGACCTCCACCTGTGCGTTCTCACTCGGTTTCCGACGTTGACATGGACCTTGCATATGGCGAATTCCATCCGGAGTCACTTATGCTGGACCCCAAGGTGGAGCAAAAGTTACAGAAGCAAGAAATGTCCAGCCTGGTCACTAAGTGCAAGATGCTGATGGACGAGGCCAATTGCGCACAGCACAGTGTCCGGGCCACTATCACACATCTGCAGACAAATCCGGACTCCATGGCAGCTGTTGCCTTGACGTTGGCGGAGATTAGCAACTTGGCGGGCAAGATGGCACCTGGTGCGCTTGCAGCATTCAAAGCCGGTGCTCCCTCGGTTTTCGCCATGCTCGCAGCTCCCGAGTTTCTTATTGCTGTGGGTGTGGGTGTTGGGATCACTGTTGTGATGTTCGGAGGCTACAAGATCATCAAGAAGATCCGAGCCCGGGTCAGTGACAAAGAGGAAGACGCAATGGATGAGATGCTGGACGTCAATGAACTTGACCGGATTGAACACTGGAGACGTGGTATCCCGGATACCGAGACGGCGAGTGTTGCTACAAGCGTCGAAGGTGAATTCATCACTCCGTTGGCTGCGAGAAGTATGGGTCACCTGCCTCTTCCCCGGGAGCAGAGCCGGGAAAGACCGAAGGAGCCGAGAAAGGAATCGAAGAAAAAGAGACACCACCGGAGAGTCGAAGATGACCCTGACCGCACGGTGGTGGGGAGCGAGAACTCATCGAAATCGCGGAGAAGCAAAGGCAGCAGCAGATCGGAGAAGAGAGAAAAGGCACTTGTCAAGACCAAGAAACCTAGTACGCTGAGGAGAATGTTCCTCAGCAGGGACACAGATATCTCTTCCAGACGATGAACTTAGGAATACAGGCATCTCTTTTACACCGGTGTCGCGGCAATGATTTAGGACTGGATATATGAGGTTATGAAGCGATGATGGTTATGGAAATGCTAGATACCGTGCTTGCAGAAGCGAAACACGTACTATATCTGATTGATTTGGACATTCAAGGACGTTGAAAATACTCTGGAGTATTGCTGACTAGAGCACCTCCAACCACGACAATAATATCGATATTGAGATCACATGACAACAAATCACGTGTTCTTGCGGCGAAATTTTGCCGGCTCGGAGATCTTTTGGCCTCAATTCCACGATTTATCGCGAACTTGTCAACCCTTCTGTCCATAAAACTCCAAGAGTCTCCTGGTGCCTTTACCGTTTGGTATCTGGCTGCTTGCGGTGCCTTTCGAAGTGTCGCACTACCCTTCACTCTTATTCACTGTCGTTTCAAGCCACCCTGCACTGTAGCCGGTCGCCCTGTTGAATCGTGGCTCGCAACGCACTCGAAATCTCTAGCCATCATCGACTCCGCTGTCATCGTCTGCGTTGCCTGAAAGTGGAGATATAGTTTCAATTGAACAAGGTCACCTAAGTGCTCCGAACTCTCAACATTCCACCATGGATCACTCCCGAGATCCCTGTCCTTGGGTTGCCCTGTCCGATTTTGGCGGAGCGTTTTGTATGGGTGCTCTGGGAGGTAAGAATGGGTGGCCCTTTGCTTTGACACTCATCTTTGACAGGCCGCAGGTACCTTATGGCACGGAATCAAAGGTTTTAGGAACTCACCCTACGGCGAACGACGGATAGGCATGATCACAGCCATCAAAGCTCGAGCGCCCGTTACTGGAGGAAATTTCGGAGTATGGGGCGGTATGTTCAGCACATTCGATTGTGCAGTCAAGGGCATTCGGAAGAAGGAGGATCCATACAACTCCATCATCGCCGGATTCCTGACGGGAGGTTCACTCGCGATAAGAGGAGGTTACAAGGCGGCTCGAAACGGTGCCATAATGTGTGCCATCTTCCTTGCTGTCATCGAGGGTGTTGGTATCGGTATCCAGCGATTAATGGCAGAGAACACGAGGCTTGATGTAAGTTGACCAGCGATTCTCGGAAGTCACTCGGCTGGTGCTAATATATACAGCTTCCTCCACCAGCACCACCGTCAGAATCGGGACGCATGGCTGCATGACTGGAAATGGCCACAATACCGCATTTTATTTAACGAGATCTTTGAATTGCCCTACTCGTCCTACCGCGGTTGGCGCAATACGACGGTTCTTGCCGAGATTCTCTACTCTCCATCAAGATTTCCAACTTCGTTGGTTAATGTTGAAAAGACTTTTGCAATGGCACAGCGGGCGAATGGACATAAATGGACACAGGGAAACAATTCTCACGTTTCGAAATGACTTGACATTCGAACAACCCGAGGGCTTCTGAGCTGGCATATGCTTTTGGTGCCAAGGTGATTGTTGCTGGACGGCAAGACGCCTTCTCGAATATCGCGAAGGCGGTAGAGAATTGTGGAAACGATGTCTAGGGTGTACTTGAACGGTGTAATATAATGTACAATGAGCAAGAGAATTGCACAAATTAAATTCTTCTATGTGGCCTCTGCCTGCTTGATAATTGTGACTCCCAACGTCACGAGGCTGAGCATCTGCCTTGGGACGCAAGGGATCATCTCTCCGCAATCGCCATCTTTTGCGCAATACCCTTTTTTTTTTTTCCGAACACAACTCGCCCTTCCTCCCTCTGTTGGATAATCTCCTGCCTATACCGCAGTTGCCTCTCCTCTTATTCCAACATTGGTTATTTTCCGGTCTTGTCTGTCATGCATTTTACGAAGCATGGCTCCAAAGCTGCCACTCTGGACGACTCAAGTCACGAAGGGACCGACAAACAACCCCGCGTAAAGGCCAGTGACCTTGGTTTTCATGTACCCGACCATGTCCTCGACGACATAATCCAGATTTCAGACCCAAAACTACTCTACTCCAACGTTCACGCTCAGCGCGACCGGCGACTTCGCCTTTTGATCAGGCGCTATACGAACCAGATCCAGTACGGATGCAGAAATGTCAACTGCACCACCCCTACCTGTCTGAGCTACCGAAAGAGAAACAGCACGGGACCGTTGAGAAAATATACTGAGCTGAGCGCGAGAACGCTCGCATGCCAGTTGGTGGATGAATACAATCGAAGTGGCAAGGATCCGTTTTGTGGACTCTGCCAGAATGAGCCCGTTGTGCCGTGGTATGAGGATCCGGCGCTCGGAAAGAAAAGGAGGAATAGTTACGAGAAGGTTGGTCACCTGCGTCAAGAAAACGGCCATTTGCCAAAGCCGTCAGGGCTGGCGCAGCGCACGAAGGATTCTCCCAAGGCTATGCCGTTGACGGACAATGCACCGCGAAGAATAAGTCAAGATGGTGTGGTCCGGGCGGGTAGACGTCTACGAGAAATGGACACTTCTATGGAGGATGAATTGGCTGATGTCTTGAATCGAACCGTTCCTCGAGGGAGCATGGAGAAAGTACCACACGGTGAACACCTTGCGAACCATGACTTAGAACAAGCCTCCGCAGCCCCTGCAAAACAGAAGGATCTCGCTTCTTTCACTCAGACATTATTTGACCTGGTTCCGCTGCGACTTCTTAACTGGTTACCAGCGATATATGATTGCCCCACGACAGGTGTGTCCAGACCAGCCGGTCTGCCTGTCAATCAGAAACAAGCCTCTATCAAGACGCCCACGGAAGGATCCCTGCCACCTGCAGAAAATACTGAGCCCCTCTCTGGACGAGAGACTCCTGAGCAACACTGCGCGTCAAAAAAGCCACCTCACCAACCGGCATACAGCCTTCGAACACTTACCTGGGTCACGCTACCCTGGCTGAGATCTGTGCCCCGCGATGAGGAAGGCTATCAGTGGAAGTTTGTTCCCTTCATGAAACAAAGCTTGGCCTATTGCCTCAGTGACCCCGAGCGTCTGGTGAATACAGTCAAGGATCTTCAAGACAGTTATTGGACAGGTTCGAGGAAACAATCGAAGCAGAACGATATGAATGCAGGGAACGGACCTATTACCAGCCCAGAAAGCGATTCTATAAGTCCATGGCCAATCATATCAACAAACACAAGGGATGATATGCAAGCTCTCTTGTTCAGCTTTGCCTACATCCAGAAATTTGAGCAGCGCGATCTGGTCTTAACCAGCATATTAAATGCGCTACAGAACGCATACTACTTACCGCCGTGGCTACAGAGCAGACGATCAGGAAAGCACAGTCGATCAGGCAGTGGAAGCAGCGATCTAGCTTTGATCAAGAGGCGTCAATCTTCGGACGTCAACAGCTCGCGCAATTCTCGATCCCCCGATTCTTCGGGGCTCGATATACTTGAAGAGATTGATACGCCACTCATTCCACTGAAAGATGCACAAATAACCGAACTATGTCTTATGGCATTGTTGTCATTAGCGACCACAATCTTCCATCCCCCAGATGCTATGCTTTTCTCGGGGAAGCAGCACTTTGTCCGGCTTGCTAGGGAGAGAAACTGTGGTCTTGCCCATTCATTTTGGGTTGTCTTCAAAGGACGAGATCTGACTGGCATACGCGAAATCATCGATGTCATCGACATCTGCGAAGATTGGACTGTCCATCGGTTGCTCACAGCTCTAATGAATATCGTCAGCCATCGATTAACCGTTACCAAGTGGGCGGCTACCCTGAAGAGCTCGGGCATGTCAAAGTCTAATAGGACGACCATCGTCGAGTCACTCATTGATCGATTTGACCGAGACTACCTCCCGGGATGGGACCGATTCGACAAGAATTCTAGTTGGATCGGCACCGCTGCTATCGAGCTCGGGAGGACAGTCCTACTGAAAGATTGGGATCGTTCTCCAATTATTCAGCGTGCAGGTCCCGTGGGCGGTGCCCTGGAACTTTTGGCCGGGTTGTACCGTGCGCGACACCAGTTGAATCTGGATGCAGAGTGGTTTCATATGCCATTCATCGCCGACATTTTCGACGACATGTCCATGCCATCAGAATGGTTGTCCTTCCGCCCAGACTCTCGACAAATGCATCTTCTATCTTTCTCTTTTCTCTTCCCACCTGAGGTTCTGGTCCAGTACTTTAGAGCAATAAATATTGCGATCATGAAGAAGTCGCATGAGGACGCCACAATTGTGTACAATGACATCAGACAATATATGTGGGCACCTGCCATCCCGATCTATGGCGCGAAGGAAGTTCTGGCTCGCCTGCGACCTCACATGGCCAGGTACTTTGTACTTACAATCCGCAGACAAGATGTTTTGAACGATGCGATTGATCAAATATGGCGACGTCAGCGCAGAGAGTTGATGTGTCCTTTGCGTGTACGCCTCGGTAAAGATGAGGGCGAAGATGGTCTCGACCATGGGGGAGTCCAACAGGAGTTCTTCAGAGTCGTTTTCGGAGAGGCGCTCAGGCCTGAGTATTCCATGTTCACCGTTGACGACACGACGAGGATGACTTGGTTCCAGCCAGGTTCCTTTGAACCACTCTACAGGTTTGAAGCCTTGGGTATCTTGATGTCAATGGCTATCTATAATGGGATCACCCTGCCTATCACCATGCCATTGGCATTCTACCGAAAGCTTTTGGGGCTCAAGGTGAAGAAACTCGAGCATATCGCTGATGGCTGGCCTGAGTTGACGAAAGGCTTAAAAAGCCTCCTGGATTGGTCCGAAGGGGATGTCGGGGAGGTAATTGCTAGGACCTATGAATTCAGCTACGAGCTCTGTGGGAGTACCGTCACGGTGGACATGCAGAAGGTTGGCCGTCACGACCCTTGGCCCCCGACAAAGCCGCGGACGAGCAAGAAAGGCAAAGAGAAGTCCAAATCGACCTCTTTCGAGTTGCCGCTGGAACCAACACTGACACCGCCACCTCAACCATCGCCCAACTTGAGTCCTAATATACCAAACGGTTCGATCTTGAGCAGGACCTCTTCCATCGAAATCAAAGGCATATCCACCCCCTTGAGCATCGATAGTGACATGCTCGAGAATTCTGGACCAGAAGCCGCATTAGTCACCAACGCCAACCGTGAACAATACGTCAAAGATTACATCCTGTGGCTCACGCATAAATCGATCGAGCCACAATATGAAGCTTTCGCCAGAGGGTTCTATACCTGCCTCGACCGCACCGCTCTGTCAATTTTCAACCCGGAGTCCCTGAAAGCCCTGATCGAAGGATATCCCGACATCGACATCGACGAGCTCCAAATGACAACTACCTACGACGAGTACACGTCGGAATCACCCACGATTGTTGATTTCTGGCACGTTGTGCGCAGCATGAGCACTCACCAACATCGACAACTCCTGGAATTTGTCACGGCGAGTGACCGCGTGCCGGTCAATGGCATGCGGAGCTTGACGTTTATCGTGCAGAAGAACGGCGAGGAGGATAACAGGCTGCCCAGCAGTAGTACGTGCTACGGCCGGTTGTTGTTGCCGCAGTACTCGAGCCGGGCGGTCATGGAAGAAAAACTGACCAAGGCGATCGAGAACTGCGTCGGCTTTGGGACGTTGTGATGTACCCCCTCTCCTGATCAATCCTCTTGTAATGTACGTCTAACTTTTCTACGCTACGGCAAGAGGCCGGAGAAGGAAGACCTTGGGGTTTTCTGTGCTAGGAAGAACTATGTCTGAGCTGGGCTGGGCTGAACCGAGTGAACAACAGCAACCGAGCCTGATGAGAGTGAAGAAAGGAACGAAAAATGGAACCTTTCGAAACAAACACGCAAAGAGATAGATGATTTGAATGTTCATCTGCATATTTATGTTTACTAAAAGTCGCTTCTCTCCATCTGAATTGGAAAAGGGCCAGCACTAAACCTTCTTCCACGTACTTCTGTTCTGGGCTGAGTCTATTCTCCCGAGTCTCTGTTCTATCCATGTATGTTTATATTTTATGCCCGGTTCTAACGAATCAGTCCCGCTCACTCGCCTTGCTTCCAGACCAAATTCGGCCGCCGTCTCTCCCATGTCCCATTCTGTGCAATATTCTCCTTACACCATGACCCGAGCGTGTTGCCCCAGTGAAAGGGGGCGAGTGGAGGGAGGAAGAGAGAACGATTGATGTCAAAAAAAAAAAAAAAATCGGGCAGTATTTTTCTCCCTTACTCTCTGCGAAGTGCATCCGCCGAAATCCAGCTCCAGTCGCTCTGTGCAGTGAGCGCAGCAACCTAACTCCTGTTTTCGCTCACTAGGTGGGTTACAATAAATTCTTAAGCCACCACTTGCACGCTGGCCGGCTGGGGCTGGATCTCCTCCGCCGCCATCGTGACATGCCTCTCAGCATCCGCCGGGGCTTGGCCGTAACTCTCCTGCTCTTCGATGATCTCGTCGTCGACAGCGGTATTGGACAATTTACTTGGATTCTGCAGTCCTTGGTCCTCCCATCCTTGCATCATTTTCTGAAACAGCTCCTGTTGCTTGTCGTGGCCTAACATCGAGTGTTCTAGGCCTCTCCGATTACGGCTTTCCATTGTTTCTATTAGGAATGCTTCCTCGTCCGAGTCGTTGGAGAAGGCGTGTTCAAAGTGGTACGTGCGGTATTCCGTATTCTCCCATCCAGTACCGGACAGCTTGGCTGCGTCTTCCCAGTCATCTGTGAGGTAGTGAAGGTATCCGCCATGGGTGACCAGGACAATCTCAACGTTGTTGTCTCCACTCTCTGCCAGTTCACGGGCTTTCTGGCGGAGGAGACGACGGCAATCCCTGGCGCGGGTTTTGATGGCCTCACTTGCAGGAGAGTAGCGGTTGTCTAATGTTTTGATGTTCCATGATTTTGTAACGAGGGAGAGGTCGACCGGCCAGTTCCGCTCGGTGCAGAAATCTCGTAGGACATCGACATCGGAGCCTGTGTCACAGGGATAGTCGGATGTTTCTTGCGCATCAGGAATCGCGAGGATGGTAGGCTTGCACTTAGGGCTCGACGTCAGTGCGGGCATGAACGTGAGCAAAGCGGTGTGGAGTGTCCTCGACAAGGGCGAGGCGGTGATCAGTGAGAGTGACTGTTGGCGCTCTGGGGACCAGTGCAGTCCTTGAAGTGTGGCGCATTGGGATTCACCCAGGGGCGTGAGGCGCGGGTCGGGCAGCGAGTGGAACTCAGAGCCCAGGTTGTGGAAGCCCTGAGCGTGGCGGACGAGGTGAATCTTAGGCTGGACCGACATCCTGCTGAGTTGTCGATGTGTACCGGATGGTTGTCTTAGTGGATAGAGGGGCACAGGCGTCTGGGGTGACGATTTGAACGACAGTGGTTACAGGGCCACCTTGAGGCGCAGACTAGGTCAACAGAAACAAACTCGAAGAAATAGAGAGAACGGAGGATCCTAGGAAGTACAAGAAAAGGAAATGGAAAATCTATGTGCGGGCGTTAGCAGAGGAAGAGTGAATTGAAATGGAAAGGAACCGTGACTCAAGGACTTGTGCTTGCTGTCCCAACTTCACCCACCCCGCTCATTCCTCCAATGGCGATGTCGTGCCTTTCGTAACTTACACTGGCATCGCCGTCAGACGGCCCGCAGAGGACGGGAATGAGTTGAAGTGGAGTCTCCAAACACCAGGGACGACAAAGAGGCAAGGAAAAGTTCATCGAATTGGGTGGCCGGATGCGCAGTCGTGAGCAGACGAAGGACAGAATTCGCGCAGGCATGAAATGACCCGATTCGATATACACAAGATCGGAAAATCGGAACATTGTTGGGCCTTCGCCGACGCTCGTGATACGGGCCGGCTTCCGGATTTGGCGAAGCCGCTTGACTGAGAAATCGCCACCGTCTGACAGTCACCAACTTCCTTGGTAACCGTCTTTCTACAAGTACTTGGACACGCAAGACACGGCTCGACTGCCAGAATTATTCTGTCAGACCACAACTTCTTACAGTTCCTCCTGGTATCCTCCTCTGCTGCGCAGAGAACTGCCAGCTCGATTCCCAAATCCTCATGCCTGCTCTATGGTCTATTCGCTCCCACACCCATCCTCTAGCATGACATGTAGCTCTTCGATGGTGGTTCTTCACTCTTCCTGGGTCTCGATGGTGCTCCCCCTGAACCATCCCCACATAGAATTTCTATTCGCCCGTTTCTGCATCTCTTCTTCCGACGCCGTTTGCTCTTGTACCAACCGCAGTGGCCTCAACTGGTTCTGTTTCATCACAGCCCCCGGAATACTCCCTTGAGCCTGCCGTTCTCCACTCATTTGTGCTGTCATCGAACCGCCATCGGTGGTCGACCTCTGTTCCTCGCTGTGCGAATCGCTAGTTACGCTGTTCGCAGAGCTACCCCCACGGGTGCCGGAGCCAGATGGCGTATGTGTGGTTGTGGAGGTAGGAGGGCCCCCAAAATATGATCCACGCCCTTGTGACAGTTGCGGGCTGAGTGGCCGAATGCCCGGGCTCATTGGTCCTCCAGACACCGTCCTCATGGGAGATCCACGATTCATTTGCTGAACCACTGCGGCAGCGGCCATGTCAGATTGTGCCTGATCAGATCTCGCCCTGCGATGTCCCCGGTTCAGCGGTATGCTTGGGGCCGTATCTGGGTTTTCGTTCGCTGTGGGTGTTGCCGTTGCAGGTTGTGCGTAAGACATTGGCCGTGCTTTGGCCCCTGGCCGTGAAACAACAGATCTGGCTCGTTGCAGCAAGCCGGTGGCCACCCCTGCCACGGTGGACGCAGCGGCTCCCTGCTGGTCTGGTATTGCAGGCAACGCCTTTTCTGTGTACGACCTTGTGGGAGGCGGAGACACATCCTCTTTGTCTTGGATAATATGTTCAAATCCTTCATGCGACAGCAGCCTCCCGATGATCTTGTCAATATATAACGTGAGAGCTTTGTTTTGATCTCTCATTGACTTGTTCTCCGCTTCTAGCTTCCTGTACATCTCACTCTGCCCTTCGACACTCTCCTCCTCTTCGGTGGATTCAAGCTCCTCCGCAAGCGTACTCATCGAACCGGGCTCTTCGTCGGCATGCTCATGATGCATGAAGTTGCCTTTTAGCGTCTTCTCGCTCAGCAGCATCTGGAAGCTTTCGTTCTCCTCCTTCAGTTTGGCATTTTGCATTTTCATTTCCGAAATCGCTTGGTCTAACTCCAGGAGACGTCCATCTCCCACGTGTTCTTGTTGCGTCAATTTCAGATGTGCTTCGGCCAGCTCCAAACGGAGAGTATTGATTGTCTCATCTTTCTGTTGCAGACTGTTGGCGAAATTCGAAGCAAGATGTTCCGGTCGAATGCTTTCTCCATCGGCCTTCGCATCCGCAACTTGAACTTCGGCCACGCCTGCACTTCGACTAGCATTCAATCTCTCAGTACCCTGCAAGCGCAAGGCTTCATTCAGTCTGTTAATGGTGGCCTGTTGCTCCGCCTCCTTATTCATCTGCCGTTCTCGTTCCTGAAGGAAGAGTTGTTGGTGTTCCTCTCGTTCGATTTCCAGCTCTCGGCATTGTCTATTTAGATCTCTAATTTCTGCTCTCAAACGGTCCACTTCGGTTTGCTTTTGTAAGTCGCGTTCCTCTGAGGCCATCTGCGCTTGCGAGGCCTCGTCCAATCGTTGCTGCATGACTTCCAATTGTTTTTTGTATCGTTCCGATGCCTGCTCCGCTCGCTGGACTTGCTCTTGCAGATCCTTTATCAGTTGCACGTTGGCCGACTTGGCCTCTTCGTCCTCTTGGTCGTTGTCGACAGCAGCAGCAAAAGAAGTGCTCATTCGGTTTGTTGCTTTCCTTAAGGGTCGGGTCTGCCGGAGAGACGGGGTGCGAGCAAGGCCTGTTCCTGTACTTGCGGGTACTGAACTTCCGACACTCGGCCTGTTGGGACTATTGTCGTTTGCGTTGCGACGAGACGGAGGAGTGTTGGAGGGATTGGAAAGCGATGCCCTAGAGTTAGGAGTAGCCATGATGATTACTGCTGCGCAGAGTTATGGCCGAGTAGTCGAGGTGCGTTGAGATGCTGTTGGCAATGCGGCAGAACGCGGGTCACTGAATGGATGATTTGGAGGCAGTTTTCGACTGTCACATAAATAGGTAGGCGAGGGTGTGCAGGCGATATTGGCTGACGATTGAGGAGGACGCAGGTATTGGCCAGGAAGCGAGTCTGCGCCTCAGTAATGAGTGACGACGATGTTCAGCTGGAATAGATATGATGGGTGATGTCTCAGAACCAAAAGAAGGATGAGGTTGGGATGAGCAGATGATGCACCCAGCCATTTCATGAATGACATACATTGCGAATGGACATATTCAACAGGGACCCAAACACGTATGCACATGCCATTCAATTGAAATCTCCGGATGGTAACAGCAGGAGCAACAGCGGAGCCTAAAGCAGCCCTTGCTTGCATTGCCGCATGCGGCGCCCGTGCAGGTCACTAGGCTGCCCATGGCCCATGGCAGGAAAGTTCCAGGGGTCCGCTTTGTTAAAACCCAGCCTCACCAGCCCCGGTGGCGGCTGCCCAGGGGCAATGATCGCCCAACACGCCCTTTTCGTCAAACCCAAGTCACGTGTGCACTGCTGCCAAGAATGTTTTCCCACAGCGGTGCATTTTTGGCATCCTGTCAGATTAAATCTCGTTTCCCACCACCAACTCTACCAAGTCGCCGGAGCGCAGTATTCAATCAATTCTACTGTTCGATCTAGTAGAGCGCAACGATGGCACCAAAGAAGGCGAAGAAGACGACCGACAGCATCAACTCGCGCCTGGCGCTTGTGATGAAGTCCGGCAAAGGTGAGCCTACACTCCAGAGCCCAACGCCCATTCGTACATATCTAACACCTCAATGTAGTTACTCTGGGCTACAAGTCAACCCTCAAGTGCCTTCGATCTGGCAAGGCCAAGCTGGTCATCATCGCAGGCAACACTCCTCCTCTGCGCAAAAGCGAACTTGAGTACTACTCCATGCTCTCAAAGACAAATGTACACCACTTTGCTGGAAACAATGTGAGTGCAGGTTCATGCAGAAGACCCTGAGAAGAAGCTCCAACGAGCTTTGGAGGGAACACCGGCTAATTTTTACTTTTCATCCATTGTAGATTGAACTGGGCACTGCGTGCGGAAAACTGTACCGTTGCTCGACCATGGCCGTCCTTGATGCTGGTGACTCTGACATCCTCGGCGCTGCTTCGTGAGCGCCAACATCTTACACAAGTGCATATTGAGAAATCGCATGTGTTCAATGTCATGATACCCTGGCCGTCAAAGGCGCAGATGGCAAGACGATGAGATGAAGCCATCTCTGAAAATGTGCACACAGCCATGGATCTGGCATGGTCAAGATACCAGCAACAGATAGAGAGAGGCCCCGCTGCTCCATAATTGAGAAGGAGCAGTACAAAGAATCAAATACTCGACCCTACTACCGGTGTTCATCAGTGTTGCTCATTGTTTCGTAGCCAGCCAACTGAAACTATCAATATCTCGTATGACACGATAGATGCCCAATTCGTAGCGTAAGTTATTCTGTCAGACTTGGTCGCGGACTTAGTGGCTGCCAGATCGGGAATTAGGGCAAGAATGTGCCTTGCCTCGTTTCTGGTGGCGGATTGTCTTGGCACTCGATTTGAAATCAAGTTGAGTGGGAAAGTCTACAAAGTTCGTCGTCGACTCTTCAACTTCTTCCCCTCGATCAAATCGTTCGCAAGAAGTGCTAGTCTCTCTGTACAACCTTCAAGATGGCCAGAAGACCTGCCAGATGCTACAGATACTGCAAGAACAAGGTTAGTAGACGATTTTGCGACAATGTGCGATCAATGTACTAATTCCTCGCAGCCCTATCCCAAGTCTCGATTCAACCGTGGTGTACCTGACCCCAAGATCCGTATCTTCGACCTGGGACGAAAGCGTGCCAATGTCGACGAGTTCCCTCTCTGCGTGCACATGGTTTCCAATGAGTACGAACAACTGAGTTCCGAAGCCCTCGAAGCCGCCCGTATCTGCGCCAACAAGTATGTCTACAACTATGTTGCAAGCAAATGTGAAGACTTGCTAACAAAGCCTTCAGGTATCTTGTCAAGATCGCAGGCAAAGAAGGTTTCCATCTCCGTGTCCGGGCCCACCCCTACCATGTCGTGCGCATCAACAAAATGTTGTCCTGCGCCGGTGCCGATAGACTTCAGACTGGGATGAGAGGGGCCTGGGGCAAGCCCAACGGCACCGTCGCTCGTGTCAACATTGGCCAAATTCTCCTGTCCGTCCGAACTCGAGACGCCCACCGCGCTACCGCTATCGAGGCTCTACGACGCTCCATGTACAAATTCCCCGGTCGCCAAAAGATCATTGTCAGCAAGAACTGGGGTTTCACACCGTTGAGGCGTGAGGAGTATGTCAAGCTGAAGCAGGAGGGACGTGTCTTGATTGATGGTGCATATGTCCAGTTTTTGCGGAACAAGGGCAATATTGAGCAGAACATGAAGCGATTCCCTGGTGCTTACGAGGGTGGTAGCGAGATTGCCGCCGAGGCATAGATTTCATGTTACGACTCTGGGGGGGTGAAGCGAGCGAGGTGCAAATCCAGAGGTCACAAGTGGAATATCGGAGTGGTTTTCGCTCCACGGAACGAGGGTATCGATTATTGAGCCAAACATTATCGTCTCAGAACGATACTCTCGGGAATGAAAAATGCGCCTTACACCCGGCAAATGTGTTCCGTCGGACTACAGGGGGTTCTTTGAGATACTTCTGATCATGATAGACGCAAAATGATGGACAGTGACTCAAGGAGACAAACCTGTTTTTCGTAGACGCCTTTGCGTGTATCTATATTTTTGAAAGTGACGAAAGTACCTGTAATGGGGATTGACAGAAACCCCTACCCCCGACACCAACTTGAGCAGCACTGAGCTAAGGTGTAACATCACCTCCTGGCGCTCCCTTCCAGTACATGTAGTGACGACAATGAACGAGTGGCAATGCAAGAACCTGATGCTCAGCCCGGGCCAAACTCGTATTATCCTGGCCAGCGCCCGTGACCGAACTCGCGTTGCCTCCAGTTCACCACGCGGTATGCCACAATCCGAATGTCAGATTGCGTGCCTGAAGGCGGAGGATTTAGGAAGAATAAAATGGTAATTTTTAATCTTTCGCCCGGAATTGCCTCATCAGGAGGAGCCAATTCACTTCAGGGCGAGGTTGCCATTATACCCTGCAGTGATATTTCACAAGGGCGGAAGGTCAGGATTTCCAACAGGGTCGCGGGGTTTTTGGGAGGCTGTTAGTCAGAAAAGCCGCCTGAGTCCGTAACTAACTTGGCTTGGTTGCCGTACGAGGAAAGACAAGGACACAGGGTCAGAGTGGCATGTTTACAAGTAGACGGCAGATAGGAGATCTTTGGGTTCATAACCGTATCTCATCCGCCAAAAGGATGGAGAGGCAAGGGAGACTAGGCCGGGAGCAGAACGTTGGCCAGGGTTGTCCAGGGTTGGCCAGGGCTTATCCTCACTGCAAGGCCCTATGGGTGCCCTATGATAACGATGAGGGCCTCCCGGTGGCCCCCAGGGAAATCTTGCATCTCGTCATGCACTCACACCTGCATCCGCAGCTGTGGTCATGCTGTCACACTGCGGCTGGCTTCTCCGACAGTTGGGCCACACTGCTCACCACTCACCATTCACTGCTCACCACCACTCTGGTGATGGGTGCCACTGCTCCTAGACCATCTTTTTCCAGCGCTGGCTGCTCTATCTGTCGATTACTCGTCTCGACGTGTCACTTAACCAAACCGGCAAGGTTGTAAGGACTCGTACAACCTGCTTGCCCATTCCTCTGCCCAACAAACCCTTCCCCCTTTGTTCCTTTCATCCCATACTCCGTTTAACACTGTCCATACTGGCAGTAATCTTTCTTCAATTCGGATTTCTACCATATCGTCGGCCTCGTGAAATTGAATTGCCGGAAAGGAGCATACAACTCATTCGCGCATCTCCTTGATCGGAGCTGGACCTCCACCTTTGATTCCGACGAGCCCAGAAACACGCCATTGCAGCGACAAAGAATATCGACGACACAAAGACAAGCACCATCCTTTGTCAATTGACTCAATTCTCCCGTGCAATTACCATCCTAAGCTCGATCTTTCCATAGAGCGGCCACTTCTCGTGCTCGCTGTAGCACGGCCCACCCGTACGTCCGCGGGTTGGGAAACATGGCCTTCCAACAGTCCGCAGCGCCGCGGCCCATTGTCATCAATGCGAATCAATCTCAAGAATCTTCGTCCCAAACTCAACTACGACGTACGACAGTAGAAGATTCCCAAGAATGGGTGCTATTCTCCCCGAGCACGGCAGAGTCAACCATCACCCGTACCCAAACCAGTCAGACTGCAGGGGTCTCAAGAGCGAGCGATATATCACTTAACACTGCTGGGCGGTCGGGCAGACTTGAGTCCTCTGTTTTTGATGAAGAGGTCACGGAAGATGGCGAACTCGACAGCCTTGACGATGGATTGCACGCATTCAGAGAACCACCCCTGTATCCGACCATCTCCAATCAGACTCAGGGAGCGGTGTTACCGACCCACGACGGCCTGGGAACCTTCCCCGCTTCGAGCCCTCCCGTCCTCGAACAGCTATGGCAGCATGAAGCGTATAATCCTAAACGCAAGTACGACGGACATCACCGGCGACCTTCCAGCGTGCAGAGGAGACTCGATACGATAGACGAGATTGAAGCGCAGGCGAGCGAAGAAAAGAGAATGCGGATAGAGAAGTGGCGGATGGAGCAAAGTCAAGCATTGATGGATGAGGTGGAACGGGAGACTCGCCGACGGCTCAGGAGGGGATCTCGCCAGTCCACTTATCAAGAGACACTAGCCTCTATCAACGAGGATGTGCTCGGAACAACACCGAAGCAGAGTGATTATCTACCCAGGCCCACTGCAGAGCCAGAGGAGTCAGAGCCGTTCTGGCGCCGCATTACAAGAAAGTTTATCCGTGATGTTATCGGCATTGATGAACCTCTCCTGTCGGTGATATTTGGAGAGAGTCTCCCAGAGGAGGCTTATGAGAGCAGGCCGTCCTCCAGCCATGTTCTGCCTCCGATACCTGAGCAGGCATCCGAAGGGCGTGCCTTAGTAGACTCAACGTGGAGGGACAAGCTTCTCCAACGCATTGCCCGCGAACTGGGTGTCTTGGTGCATCAACTGTCACCACACCCAGGGGCTTTCACCGCTTACTCCCGCAGTCCTGATTATGCTGGCATGCCAGTCTCCGCAACTCGACCAAAATCGCAAATATCGCTACCGCCCGCCGACAGCTCAGTGAAGAACGCCATCTCATCCGGCATGACACCTAACTTTCCACCCACCGTACGTGACCCGGCCCATGCCGAGAATTGGGGTTTCGAGGAGGACCCGGTCTCTACCACGTCACCACTTGATTCATCTATGAGCCTTCAGCGGGAGCGAGAGTACTGGGAGAGAGAACTTGATCTCAAGATGGTGTTCCGTTACCTTAGAGACAGGTTCGTGAGCAGGTCGTCTACACAATCACCTCAGGCCTCAAGACAGCCTCTTGAAGACGCGGCTACTCGGACGGCGATCATACGCCAGCACCATCCTCTCGTTGCTCGGGCTCAACGATCTCCTGTGCGATTGCGACGTGAATCCAGGACGAGCATTCGAAGACCTACAAGCAGCTGCGCCAGCGAAAGCGTACGGAGCAGCAGGAAAGCATCCCTAGTGAGAAGCGGTTCCAGTCGAAATTACTGGGACATCGGTGGAAGCGTCGGAAGTGGCAGCATCCTAGCGAGCGGTGGAGCTTGGGGTGAAGTGTAGGATATCATGACATATACGGAGTATTGCAAGACATGTTGAATATGTCTTATGGAATTATGCATCGGCTATGGGAGCCCACTGTATGAATATGGATCACGACCTATCATGTTAGCTGAGGAACTCAACTTTCTTTTTATCATGGGCAGAAGACAAGAGTCTGGAGGATGATGCTACTGTACAGAGACCGAGACTCACTTGAGGAATAAACAGGTTTTTGCTTTGATCAAAACGATGGCAAGCCTGTTTGGTAATTCCTGTTACTTGTACTCTCGGTGCTCTTTCGTATTGCTTCCAGGCTTGCCACGGATGACGGTCACATGGAGTCACATGACGAAGGCCGGGAAGCACGTTTGATTGAATTTCCGCCACGAGGTAGTGGACCCATTTCGACATAGATGCCTTCCACCCCACTGCGCCATTGTTTACATCTTGAACCTGACAGTTCTACATTGCCCAGTTCAAGAAAAAAAAAAAACCCCCCCGCTGTTCTCTTTTCTTCGAAAAGCTCTCTTCGTACCCCCGTTTCCAAGTTGCGCCTGACCTAGCCTTCGCCTAGAACTACCTTTCTGTGACATTCGGTGCTGGTCGCATTGGCCTCGATCATCCGCTAACCAGTGGCCTGGGTCATAACCATGGCCGAGGAGGACGACCTATACTATCTTCAATCGGGTTTCGACCTGAACAGCCTTACTATCCCTCGCATCCGCTCGATCCTTGTCGCGCAAAATGTCCACTATCCATCTTCAGCAAAGAAGGGTCGACTGCTAGAGATCTTAGAGAACGAGATCCTACCACAGAGGGAGAAGCTGCTACGTGCGCAAGCTAGAGTTCGGCGCACAAGCAAAGGCATAACGGATGTTCCCAGCAGTCAAGCAGAAACAATTGACGGCGACCAAGATGATGACAGACAATTGATGCCACCTCCACCCCCTCCGAAAACGCCGCGAAGCAGGAAAAGCAAGTCGGACCTCAATGCCGGCAACGCTGCCACCCCAGCTCCTTCGACTTCTAAGCGAACAAAAACCCCCAGCAGAAGAAGCACAACCAGAACGCCCCGCGCGTCTGACACTGAACCAGAAGTGGAGAAAACTACCATCCGCAGACCGCGAAAGAGCGCACCCTCTGAACCTGTCCTAGAACCTTCAGTCAAGATCGAAGCGCCAGATGGCAAATCGAAGAGAAAATCGCACGAGCCAGCAGAAGCGAGTCCCTTCTCCGACGACAATCCATTCCAGTCCGGATCCAGTCCGCCGTCGATTTCACATCACCGGAAGTCCTCGACGTCTCGGACACGAAAATCCTTGACATCAACCAGCACCACAAAACGCGGGCAGACAATTTCGCCCCGCATCAAATCAGAAGAGTTTACTCCGTCGCGCTCCAAGGTCTTATTCCCGGTTTCTCGAATAAGCTCTGCCGAAACCGAAGAGGGGGTCGCTGTTACAGAAGAGTTCACACCCGATGCTGCACGTGAACTTGCGGAAGAAGAGAGGAACGGACAACTAATGCCGAGTCGGACCTCAACTCTTGTAAGACGGAAAAAGAAGAAAGAACCGAATGTGGTAGTGAAAAATGCTCCTTTAGCCATTATCACGACCGTGCTCGCCGCTCTAGGGGCATGGTACCGGCGAGAGAAGATCAACATTGGGTATTGTGGGGTGGGAGAGCCCAACTGGTCATTGGCCTCTAATCCGCACATCCCTGCTTGGGTACATGAGAACTTCCAGCCAAAGTGTGAGCCCTGTCCGCAACATGCCGTGTGCTACCCGAACATGGAGGTAGAATGTGAGAGCGATTTTGTGCTCAAACCTCATCCCTTAAGCTTGGGTGGCTTGATACCGCTGCCACCAACGTGTGAACCAGACAGCGAGAAACAGAGGCGAATTAAGGCAGTGGCAGACCGAGCCATCGAGGAGCTTCGAGAAAGGCGAGCCGCCTATGAGTGTGGAGGAGATATCACCAGCTCGTCAAGTCCGGTTCCAAGAGAGACTGAGGCTATTGAGACGGTGGCAAAGTCCACAGCGCCGAAGTTGGAGGTTGCGGAAGAGGACCTCAAGCAAACAGTGTCGAAGTTGAGAAGGAAGGGAATGACGGAGCAGGAGTTCGAAGAGCTATGGCGCGGTGCGCTTGGAGATATCAAGGCGCGAGATGAAGTCGAGGTCACTCAGGATCGGTAGGGCTTAGTCTCATCTCTTCTCTCTCGCCCATTATCGCCCCCCTTTCTTTGTTTGCGAATCACTGACTGACTGAAGCTCCCGTCTTCCAACAATTGCAGATCCGGTAGAACTCTCCTCTCGTCTTCCTCCCTCGCCAGACTGCCTTTCGCCTGCGCCGTCCGACGATCCCTTCTCCGAGCGTTTACAGAGAATCGAATCCCTATTGCAACTTTGATTTTGATTGCGTCGGCTTTAGTCTACGGTCGTCACAGGATTATATCGTATCAGCGAGCCACCGGACAAATTCCAGGGTTAGTAGCTACCACGCTGGACAGATTAGCGACGCAAGCGGCTCTAAATCGGGATGGACGGGCCTCGGAACCGTTTATCAGCGCCGGCCAATTGAGAGATGATGTGCTGAGAAACGTGTTCAGTGCTTCAGAGCGGGAGCGTGTCTGGCAGAACGTGAGGAAGATTGTGGAGGGGAATTCTAATGTCAGGGCTTCGACCCGGGAAGGAGGGAAGACGGGCGAGTGGAGTCGTGTCTGGGAGTGGATTGGGCCTCTGGATTTGGCGCCGGGACTGGAGGGACGAAGGTCAAGCGGGATGATTGCTGATGCAAGGACTGCAGAAGGGAGCAGCCGTGGTAATGGGGTGGTGAAAGTGGAAAACGATTCAAATGTGGGCATCAGGCGGTGGGACGAGGGAAGACCGATTTATTGATTCTTGCTGGCCCAAGTTTGGGAGAATTCTGTTGCCCTCTGGGTAAAAGTGAGTTTGGTGGCTTTCTTTTTCCTGCTTTTTGATCATTTCTCTGGGCGAAGGGCAAAGGCCTTGGACCTGGAATTGCTCCGCCTTGACCATGATGCTTTTGAGGATATAGCACGCACATAAGTTGTGTACTATTAATGAGCGGCTGATGAGTTTTATTGTTGTTGTTGTTGCTGCTGCTGCTGAACAATAATTCACAAGATTGCACTATACCGTTCCATGTTTTGGGAGTTAATGCTCGTATCAGTACACTCAATGTCTGGAGGGGGTGTTCATCTGCCCTACGTATCAACCTTGTGCTTACTTATACGGAGTATAGAGTAGAAATTAGGGACATTAGTGGCATCCATGTACCTACAGGACCCACAGAATAACAACCATGATGACTACTTGTCTTGGATAGTACCTACGCAGTAACAAACATAAAAGATACTATTCCACTTTGCCCAGGATAGCCAATCATACCTATTACAGCCACTGATTCCCAGCTCTTGCTATGTACGGAAGTACTTCGTCCTCGTGGTTCGTTCTCTGTAAGACGAGGTACATAGAGTAGGATCTTCGCCCTCCGTCCTCGGTATCCACCTCAGCCTTGTCTACCTGTCTCTGCCTAGGTACATATATATTATATTTATATATATCAAGACCTTTCAAAGGCGGAGACACATCCACAGACCTGCGCCTACTAAGGAGAGACGCCATGAGTTCTCCGAGCCCCTTCCAGGCGTGGCCCTTTAGTTCGCTTCTAGGCTCCTCTTGAACTCGGGTGCCCGTTGGACTCCTTTTGAATCTTGATTTGATATCTCGAAACTCCGCCTCCCCGGCAGAGGGCATCAGGTGACGAGTCCCCGGACGCAAGGCCGATCATCGTCGTGAAAACAGGTTTTGGGCCCAGACAACGCTTCTTGAAACAAGGACCGACTGACTTGGTCGCACTGGGAACTTGTCGCAGGTGCCTTTGCCTTTTGCCTTGCCTTGCATTGCCACCATTGCCCCTGCCCTCGTCCCCCCCCCACACGCCCGATTTCCATTACCTGCCTATTCAACCTGAAGGGGCAGGCTAAATGCGTCCACCCACTACATTCACCTTCCCACCTCCCCAGTGTTATGGGGTTTCGGTTTTTGATTTGATTGAATCCAAGTTGCCCAGGGACAGGGGGGTTTTGGATCCCCTGAAGCGTCATCATAAGTCATGAGGTTCACGCCCTCCTCGCGGATGTTTAGATTCTCGATAACTTGCCCCCGTTTGCATCTGTCTGTCTGTCTATCTACCCGCTTCGACCATTTCCTGTGCCCTTAAAAACTCTTTCAAAAAAGCTAGTGTAGCTTGCGATAGCTCTCCTTTCCATTTTTCTCTGCCTTTGTCCCTTTTGCTTTTCTTCGCACCTCAGCCTCGTTGGCTGCCGCACAGTATACCCTGCGATACTCGTTTACAAGGTGCCCGGTGCATAATCGCTTGGACTGGGAAGGGGGGTAAGCTTTTGCGACGGAACCTGCCATCCACGACGCATTGAGATTCCGCGGGATTCGCTCTACACACCGGATCTTTCGTAGCTATTGGAAACGACGAGAGCCTCTTCCCTTCTTCCTCGATCCCGATCGGCGCACCGACCCTGCATACAGTACGCTCCGAGTAACTTTCCGAAGGAGCTTGTTCGGACCTCAATGTAGAGGAATCTGCCCTAGCCATCGCCCGCGTCTTCGCGTCTTCTCATCACCATCACTCTTTTCTATCCAACAATCTTCGACTTCAACCAATTCGCAAAAGACTTGGAAAGACCCGCCAAATGCAACGCTTCGAGATGGCCACTGATCCCACCGACCCTCCGGCCCTCCACTTCCTCGACACACTCCTCCCCTGTACCTTTCTTCTCTCTACATTCGGCTCGCTCATCACCTTCACCACCGCCGTCGGCATCTTCGGTGGGCCGCGGCGGTACTTTGGCGAAATCCAGGTCTTTATCGCTCTTGCATGGTTGTTTTTCATGTTATCTCTGGCAATGGCAACAGTCACCAGCATGGCTTTGGCCTTCCACAGACGACATGTGAGAGATGCCTTTGAAAGGGGGTATAAGTCCTGGAGGGGCGGGGCGGGGAATCGCACGGCTGGCGAGAGGTCTGTAGTCTTTGGGATTGTTGTTCTGGGCCTGGGAGGAATGTGGCTTATGTTGTTGGAGTGTCTGGCCTTTGTGTTTTTGAGTCTGTCGGTGGCTGCGTACTGCCTTGCAGTGGGCTGGATTGGGTTTGTCGTGTCTGCGGCAATGATGATTCTTACCGTGGTATTTTGGGTTCTGATGGGACAGAGAGATTGAGACAGCAGTGCAACGAGAGAAGAAGGCGCCATTCTACGGAGACTGGGGTCCATTTCTGGGAAATCAAATATGACTTGTTCATGGCCTCCCAGCAAGCCATGACTGGAAGTGGTCTATCTTACCTTTGATACTTAACTCTTACTTTCATTTTGAGACCAAACACGTAAAGTTCCCAGGCTCTTATTTAGGTGTTCTTCTAAGGCGTTGGCTAGGGTTTGTGAAATCGACCAAAATGCCTGTTCATATTGCCTACATCCCGTAAGCTGTACTACCATCGGAGCACCGTCACACTCTGAGTGGTCTACCATTGGGCGTTTGGTTAAAATTATCGACAGCGACATAAATAAGGATAGGCGCAGGTAGAAGCATCAGAAGCAGGGCGATTGTTGGCAATCTTGATCCTGGGAATGGGCGTGTACGCCTGCCTTCGACGACCAACACTTGATATACCAAAGGGGCAGTAAGTCAAGTCTCCCCGGGTCTCCCCACCGAACGAGTAAATAGTGCCCCCGCACATTGGGCACAGGACCAAGGAAGGCTTGGCATGTTTGCAGTCGATAATGAGTTTGTGACGTTTGCCCCCCTTGTCAACTTAATTTATCTCCTGCATTGAGAACGGTGGACAACTACACACACACTCTCTCTCTCCACTGCGTTCCAACTGGTAAATCGTGACCAAGTCATGGATTTAGACCATGCCCTTCCCTCGAAACGGCGCCGGACGTCAAGCGAAGACTCATTCTCATCCAGAAATTCCACGGCCGAACCAAGATCGCACCTTCAGACCCTGCGCCATTCAGATTCCGCCCGTTCTGGCCGAGACGCGAGGAGAGGGAGAGGATACTCGAGTTCCAGGAGCGGAGACGTCAGTCGCGATGACACACCCAACTTACGGCGGCCAAGAAGTCGCAGTCGGTCGCGTTCCAGGAGGAGTTTGAGCGGGTCCCGAACCCCAAGTTCAGCGTACGAATCTGGGCGAGAGCACCAGCCCCGTTCAAGATCACGGTCACAGTCACGGCGGAGGTCAAGGTCGAGGTCAAGGTCGAGATCCAGAACATATGACTCCTCGCTCGATCACCCACGTTCACACTCTCGCTCCAGACTTCCGTCGGCATCGCCCATCCCTCGCCCAGCCGAAAAGCCCAAGTCTCTCACCTTCACCCCTCTGGTTACGATCCCGCGTGCCCACGCTCGAGGAATCACCTCCATCAGATTCTCCCCCGACATGACTCTCCTGGCAACCGCGTCCGCCGACAATGCGATACACATCTACTCCGTCCCCCCAAACCCAATATCCGAAACACCATTTAAGCACATCCGCACTCTACGTGCGCATCTGGCAGGCGTCAACGCAATAGCTTGGTCGCCAGTTGGGCCATCCTATACCCTTGCCTCAGCCGGCGACGACAAGTCTATCCTCCTCTGGTCTCCCCTTTCATCGGATTTCCCAATCGCGCCCTCGCCTTTAATAGGTCACAGCAACTACGTCTATTCCCTCGCTTTCTCTCCTAAAGGCAACATGCTTGTTTCTGGCTCCTTCGACGAAGCAGTCTTCCTATGGGACGTACGCTCTGGCCGTGTGATGCGCAGCCTTCCCGCGCACTCTGACCCCGTCGGTGGCGTGGACTTCTTAAAAGATGGTACTATGGTCTGTTCCTGCGCCGGCGACGGATTGATTCGCATATGGGATGCCGGGACAGGGCAGTGTCTCAAAACGCTTGTCGATGAGGATCGCAAGGCCGTTACGAGTGTCAGATTCTCGCCGAACGGGAAATTCGTGCTTGCGTGGACGTTAGATAACTGTGTCAGGTTGTGGAATTACATTGAAGGGAGATGTGTCAAGACGTATCAAGGCCACGTGAACCAAGATTACAATCTCAGCGGAGCAGTTGGGACTTATTCTTACAAAAGTGGGAGCGGACAGAGGAGATTGGAGGCATTCGTGGCAAGTGGGAGTGAAGATGGGGATGTCGTGGCGTGGGATGTCACAAGCAAAGAGCTCCTCTGGCGGGGCAAGGGACACCGCGATGTGGTTTTGGGGATGGACTTTGGACGGACGAAGGATGGGAAGGGCTTGCTCGTGAGTGGTGGGAAGGATCGCGATCTGAGGATTTGGATGCTCGAGGGCGACGACGAGGGAGATTACGACTTCTTTACTACCACGGACAAGCAAGGCTTGGAAGGCCGCGACGATGACATGGACATGGACATGCAAATGACAATGGATATGGCCGACATGGTCGACGGGCCAACCTCACGAGGCAATCACGACATGCACGGAGATGCAGGCGGAGGCGGGGTCCACAGGAACGATATGGTCGTCGATGGGTGAAACTCCCATTCGATCATCCATACGGAGTCCACAGTAGCTTAGCCAGGTCGCGAGACGAAGAAGAGCTCTTACTGTAGGTATCTCTATTACTCGCGAACGAGAAGCCTATGTGCCAGATACAATTTTATCCTGGGAAGGGCGTGAGCGAAGGCGGCTCTAGCCTGAGCAGGATTGAACTGCGCACTAGCCTGACAGAGCACACCTTGAGCACCTTGCGAATAGGTAGTACGGACTTACAGAGTACAATGAGCGATTGCCTCCGTACTAAGAGGGACTTGATCTGGCTCCCTCTCTGGCAAATCGACAGTACGTAGTACGTACCACATGGCAACCCTCTTGCGCCCCTTTTCTGGCTTTCATTGTGCCCGGCCCTTCCAAGTCTAACATGCGCCTATCCTGTCCCTGTCCTGACTTGTCCTGGCGCTTCAAGGATGCGAATAGAAAGATCCGACGCATCGCATCACATCGCATTTTCGTTCCAAATCCGACAAAAGCCCGACTTTCCGCCCATCCCGTTCAATCTACCTTGCCCCGGACGTCTCGAACTCAATTTGTGGGAGGGGACTCGGTCCTTTTTTGTTTTTTTAGGTTTTGCTAGCCAAACACTTGAAGAGACAAGAAGCTTTGGCTTGTGGTTCGGCATATAGTAGAGTAGAGTAGAGTAGAGTAGAGGCGCGGTCTCGGTCCTAATCCTGCGCGGGTATATAGTCGTTCACGACCTTCGCAATCGATCTGCCTCCGACAAAAAGACCACGACTACTATCGTGGAACGCGATAGTTCCCTCTTGCTTGCTCGGCCTTGAATCCTTCGCTCTGGCTTGGCAGCGGCGCTCGCCTCCGCGAATTGCCACCGGCACTGGCACCGGTACTACCAGAGATGGTGGTGGCATTTATCAGTGCACCTGCGCCGTTGCCAGAGAGGCCTGGGATACCTCCACCTCCTCCGATACCGGGAATTCCAGCAGCAGCCGGAGCAGAGCCGAGGATAGGAGGAGGCGGCATCTGACTACCGGCGACCGGCGGAGGGGGTGGGAAACCGGGCAGCAGGTTGAGTTTCGTGAAGTCGATCGGCGGTACAGCGGAGGTGCCTGGTAGTGGTTGTTGACCGGCTTGCTGCTGCTGTTGGGTCAAGGCGAGCAGGCGCTGAATGGATTCGGTGTCCATGCCTGGTACGGGAGGGAATGGTGGGATTGGAGGAACCGTCGCGTGAGTCTGGCCTTGACTACCTCGCGATGAAGGCCGGCCCAGGTTACCAGTTGCACTAGCATTGCTCTGCAACCCTGACAAGAGAGATAATGGTGGCGGAGGAACATTACCGATGCCGGGAATCGGTTGCGCCGTCCCATTCATTCCTCTACCAGGGAGACCAGGCAACCCTGGAATTGACAAGCCTGCGCCAGCGGTGGCTGCTTGTCCCTGATTTGCCTGATCTTCCAGTCCCTCTGCCTCATCTTGCTCTTCTTGCTCCTCGAGCTCCTTCGCCTGCTTCCTCCCAAACTTTCTATCCCATGTGCCCTGTGCTTCCGCCCCTTCTTCACCCAGGTGAAATTGGTCTTTGAAGCAGGTCGTCTGCCCGGGCTGTGCGCGGGACCAGAAGCGCGTATAGTGGTCATTAGAGCCCGATGCGAGAATATGCCCTAATGGGTGCCAGTCGATAGACCAGATCGAGGAATCATGCGCGTGAGGAATGCGGTGGGCAGGATAGATTGATTGTGCGGGTGCGGAGCGTGGGTCTGATGATGCATAGGGCGAGGTCGTTGTGGAAGAGACACCAGCGGGTGTATTTGGTTCTGTGAGTAAGTAGGAATGCAGGGAGCCATCGTCGCCGCCCGTGCTGATAAGGCTGGGGTGAATTGGGTGCCACGATAACGTAGTCACACCTTTCTCATGGCCTCGCAAGATGGCAACGTCGCGCATCATACGTAAGTCAAAAATGCGGGTTTGACCGTCTCTGCCGGCTGTTGCCAGTAACTGGTCGCGAAGCCGGCTGAAAACTGTGGCCGTGATGGCGTTTTTATGACCATGCAGCGTGGTAAGATTCCTGCAGGTCCGAGGATCCCATAGTCGCACGCTGTGGTCTTTGCTTCCCGAGACGACAAGGCCTTTTGTGGGGTGCCAGTCGCAGGCTTTTACGTCCCAACCATGCTCTGTGAACGTCGATTCGTTGGTGGAAGAGGTGAAGTCCCAGATTTTGAGAGTGTTGTCATCAGAAGCGGTGACAAACTTTGCATCAGAGGGCGCAAACGCAAGATCTCTAATTGGCGCATCGTGGCCCTTGAATTGATGGGGATTGTTCAGAGTTGGTTGTAGATAGTACACGGTGCCTTCGTCGTTTGCTGCGACGAGCCAATCCTTTCGATTCGACCACTCGGCAGCGCGTAGAGAACTGGAGCCCATAGCAGTGACAGTCTCAAAGTTGAAAGACATGCCGTTCCATAGCATGAACTCTCCATTGTGCACACCGGCAAGAAGTCGACGGCCTTCGGGCATCCACCGCACAACCGTCACCGGCTTTTTCGATTTACCTAAAGAGGTGTGAAGATGGCGAACGGGTATCGACTCAGCAGGGGCATCTCTTCGAGCTGGGGGCGGCAATATGTCGATAACATAGCTTTGGCTAGGTCTTTCTTGTTCATAGTGATAGCTTCCCTTGTAAGGTGGTTTTCGGTTGCTCATCCACTGAATCATGGAGGAGCCATAATCGGTAATTGGTCGGGGTCTCCGTCGACGGAAGCCGCCTCCTTCTTGGTCATCGTAGACATTGGCCATGGTGTTTAAGACCTGTATTCATCGAGAGGGAAGTTCAAGAGATGGAGAGGTGGGCGATATCACGAGGTTGTTTTCAGGTGCTTTGGACGCCAGATACTGAAGGACTGCGCGCTCAACATGGGCATCCTCAGATGTGAAAACGATCTGATTCTTACACACAGAGAATGAATTAAGGCGTAGAGCGTACTAGGAAACGAGTTGGAAATAGATGGTTGGTGATGTATGTACCCGCGAGGCCTGAAAGGGCAGAACCGGAAGTTCAGTGGTGTATGTGGTCACGTGAGGAAGTCTGGGAGACGTGGGTTTCTGGCCCAGTAAAAGTCTGTCTGCTATTCATATCCTAAGGACCTGCCCCTTGAACAATGATAGTCCCAGTAAGTTGTGCTACAGTCTAGTCACCTCCGTACCTTGTTGAGCTCTCCATACTTTGCTTGCCAAGCGAAGAAATAGATCATCGCAGCCAGCGGTTGTCCAACAAACACGAAATTGATCCAAAAGATACAGTTACCAATAACCTTTCCCGTCCCATCCATCTTTGCTAGAGGTTCTGTAATCTGAATCAGAGGTAGCTGCAGCACCATCCCAAGAAAAGCAACTCCGAGAATATTGTGTGAGGGCACTCCCACGGCGAGCTCGTGGAGCAGGCCTGAGAACACAAAGACCCACGCACTGGCTGCCCGATGTGACCAGCCACGACCAACCAGAGGGGAGTAGATATGCCTCCGCATGAAATGATAGACCGGCTTATTCCAGGTGGACCAGTACATCTTGAGGCTTGTGCTGTTCCACCAATCTTCGTAAAAGACTCGATCGCCAAACATCATGATCTCGGCCAGTGCATTGAGAAAGGACTGAAACAGGGCAAAGAATCCAGCGAGCCAGACAATCAAGGATATAGTGGACAGCTTCATTAAACGTTCCGCAATGGAAGAGAAGTCGAGCACGGCCATGCCATCCAGCGAGTTGCGCAAGACTGGAATCGCGTACTGTGCACAAGTGAGCCAGATGAAGACGCAGAGGGCAACGACTTCACCGGCCCGTTTGAAGAAGAAAGTCCATCTAATTCGGTCTGTGCGTGGGTAGTATGGTTGATAAACCAGTGTGGGTGCCCACCAGAAGTAACACAAGTTAGGAAGCGTAATGTTGCGCGGATAGGGACATTCTGAGTAAATGTCAGGAAGGGCCGATTCAGGGCCGCCAGGGTTCAACATGGCATGGCGAAGATCTCGGTTGGTGAAGGCATATGAGCAGGTCTTGAGCCACACCACGATGGCGTGGAGCTCGCTGATGGTCCCTAAGCCGGGATTGTGGATGAAGTAGTAGACCACGAAGCTCGAGATGAGTAAAGCAAGCGACGCATTCAAGGTATGAGCGACAGCAATCCACCACCAAGCGTTGAGGAACTCTCTTGTCTGTTTTTCCGTCTCGGGCTTTTTGTTGGCATCTGGATCGCTCTTCTTCCGTCTTCCAATGACTCCTTTGGCATTTTCCATGGCCACTTTCTCGATAATGTAGGCGACAAAAAGGTGACATGGCGTGAGGGCATAGAGGGCCAGAGCGATCTTGATATCCTGATTTCGAAGGTTCGACTTCAGAGTAATGAGGAGTCCGTACTTTCTCGCGTTCTCAATGACCAGCCGCAGGTTCATGACTATGATGGTCAAAACCATGAGATTGCGGAATCCTATAAAGCTCGGCGTCTTTTGGGCCTCATGGCTCAGACACGATGGACGAACTTGGGAATGCAGCGCTGCAACATGACGGTACTTGCTGCGGATCTTGGGTTGTTGCGGCTGAGGTTGATCGGTGGAGGGCTCGGGAACCGCGACGGGTGGTTTGACATCGTGGAGACCTTTGGCTGTGATATCTTGGGTCTCTGAGATCAGGGCATGTACGTTGTAAGCCATGATAGAAGGCGGAACCTGCATGTGGTTGCTGTCTACCGGCTGGTGGTGAAGTTATGTACTTTCCCCTCTCTTTCAACTTGGACAGTGGATCAACCATCAACCATGATCAACAAAACCGGGCCAATTGCAGAGGAGGAGAAACCCGGCAAAGGATGGATACGAGGGAAGGCGGCTCGAGGATGACATGACGGAATGCAGAATTGAAACGGAAGCAATGAGGTAGGAGGAGGACGGCCAGGACCCTTCTGGGCGGATGGCAAAAAGGTACGGAGTAGAGGCACAGGCACAGGCACAGACGCACATGGCACGCAGTCGAACACAAGAGGCATTCTCGGACCAAAGCACGAAGTGACTTGCGGTTGGGAAGTGGAGGGCCATTTGACGGCCACCAAAGCCAGTGGAACCTTCTGTTGGGCAATCCGCAACATGTCGGATTGGCCGATTCCATTCTTCGCGAGCATGTGGAAATCCCAACTGTTCTGTACTGAGGCCTTTTCGTCAAGAGGGATTTCATAAGTATTCGCACATTTGGCTTTTCCAACTTCTGAGTAGAGACGGCCTTTTCGTTCTATTCACGGTACACGATTTGGACCCAATTCCAGGCACATACAGCACGGGCCGACGCCGACACCACTCCTGTAACTCATCACAGTTACCTGTACAGCTTGGGTTCCCTATACAGACACACGTGCTGCTCCTAATTTGTATATGTGCGCTCATCCTCAGCAGCTTCGTGAACTCCGAATGATTCTGTCAGGCAGAGAGCAGGCAAGCAGACCGCCCCGACCGTGGCCACGTCGTCCAGGCAGCTTGATTTAGTCTCCCAATGCCACGATTGCCGGGTCCGGTGGGAAGACGACATTTACGTCTTCTTCTCTTGCACTGCTTGCTTGATGGTCTCTTGCGCTTTGCTGGATTCGAGGTCCTCCTCACTCTCGCCCTCGCCCTCACTCGGTTCTTCCAGTTCCACTTCGATCTCGTCTTTCTCCGTGGGCGGCCCTTTAATATGTTCCGGGTCGATGGCCAATTTGTCCACATCATCCTGTGCTCTCTCGCCGCCACTCATTTGCCATTCCATCAACTTCGTGAAAGCACCTTCGGGCCGACTGCTGAGTTCCTTGTAGCTACCCATCTCCGCAACACGTCCATCGCTACCCAGACATATAATGGTGTCAGATCGTTTGATGGTCGAAAGACGGTGCGCAATGGAGATCGTTGTGTTACTACCTCTCAGCAGCGAGGCCAGTGCTTCGTTGACCAAGGTCTCGGACTCTGCATCAAGTGCAGATGTGGCCTCATCCAAGATCAAGATGTCGGGCTCCTTGACCAGGGCTCGAGCAATGGCAATGCGCTGCTTTTGGCCACCAGACAGCTGCGTGCCCCGGGCGCCCACGGGAGTATCAAGTCCTTCTGGGAAGTCGCTAATGAATTGGCAATTGGCCCGTCTGGCTGCACGCATGATCTCTGCGCGGGTTGCATGAGGGCGGCCGTAGGCGATGTTCTCGGCTATGGTGCCGGAAAACAAGACTGGTTCTTGTGACACGATGCCGATCCTACGTCTGAGAGATTTGACGTTCATCGTCGCAATATCCCTGCCATCGATCAAGATGCGGCCCTCTGTAGGGGTGTAGAACCGCAAGATCAGAGAGGCAATCGTGCTCTTTCCACCGCCGGATGGGCCGACAATGGCGACATTGGCGCCCTGAGGGATTTCGAAATCCAGATTCCTAAAGATACTCACTGCCGGTCGAGTAGGGTAGCTGAAGGAGAGATTCTCGAACCGAATGGGACCTCGTGCTGATACCACCTTTTCACCTTTCGTGGGAGATATGGTTGGCTCTCTGTCCTGCAGTTCGAACAAGCGCGATGCGGCTCCGACGCCTTTCATCAACTCCGAGTAGAACGACGAAAGCCCAAAGAGCGAGGAACCTGCGTATGCAGTGTACATGAGAAAAGAGGTGAGTTCACCAATACTGATTGTTCCACTCGACACCATACCACCACCGACATAGAGAAGCGACAGTATGGTCATGTTGCCCATGAATCCAGTGGAAGAGAAGAAAGTGGCACTGATGATCGACTCTCTCTTTCCCAGCTCGAAGATCTTGCGCACCTGCGTGTTGTACCGGTGGACTTCGAGAATTTCACCTGCAAACGCCTGTGAAGTTCGCACATTGCCGAGCCTTTCTTCTGCAATCTTCGTTAACGTGCCGACGTTCTTTTGAATCTTTCGACTCAGATTCCGGATCGCTCGCCCATAAAAGAATGCACCAAGTGCGACAGGGGGAAACAGCAGCGCCAGAATACCGGTCAACTTTAGGGACACCCATGCCATCAAGCCAAAGCCAGCAGCTCCACTGACGAAAGCGCGGAGTCCATCAGAAAGATTTTGGGTAATTGACTTGCCGACGATGATGGTGTCGGAGCTGAGTCTGGAAATCAAGTCGCCTACACGATTTGCATCGAAAAACTCGGCATTTTGAATGTAGGTTTGCCGGAACAGGCTGGATCGGAGTCTCGCCACAATTCTCTCGCCCACAATTCGAAGGATGATGATGCGTCCGTAATTGGCCGCCGCACCCGTCGCCAGAATACAGACAAGGGCGGTGTAGAATGTTGTCAAGCTGAGCCCAAACAGCATATCAGACTTCTGCTCCAATTCGGCACCCTCCGTTTTCGCACCCCCTTTGGTCGCAATATCCAGGATCTTCCCAATTGAAAACGGTATCGACATGGTGATGGAGGACGAGATCAGGAGCAGGAGAAATGCCAGCGTAAGGACTTTTGCTTCTGGACGTGCAATCTTGATCAACCGCCATATCTCCCCAAACCCAGCGTTCTTGCCCGCGGCACCTTCTTTTGACAACCGAGCGCTGAGATTCACGTGCGAGGCCTGATGTGCTTTTTCAGATCTGTGAAATGCATCCTCGTCATCCGCGTCATCGATGGATTTGGATCGCTGCTGCTCCTTAATAACCGGTGTGGGAGTTTCGTATAGTGTGCGACCGCTCGAAAAGTATACCGCCCGGGCAGCTATGCTGGGTTGAAAGGGCACACTGAGTTGATATGCCCTTGGCGCAGAACCGTTGAGCAGCTTCAATGAAGGAAATTGGCTCGAATTGCTGGAAGCCTTCGACCGTGCCCATCCATGTAAAGTGCGGGATGATATCCGGGAGTGTCGAGGAGAGGAATTGTATAATGAAAGAAGGATATTCTGGTCAAGCTGGTTTAATCGAGAGCCATGTTGAAAAGGCCTGAAAGCGAGCAGCACCGAGGTGCGCGTAGCAATCATGCCTGTAAGAGATCGAGGGATCCTTCAGCGGACTAAAGATATGGGCGTGTCCCTCCTTCTCTTCATCTCGGCCCCAGTAGTGTAGGAGGGGAGGTGCCAGTGAAGCTGGGACGTCGAAAGGCGCAATGAGAGCATTGAAGAAAGGTGAGAAAAAGGCGCCTGTGTCTGCGACACGGATGGATCAATGACGATTAACCGGCCGATGAACGGAGACGCGAGACCGAGCCCGAAGCTGCAGCCAAAGCTCTTAAGCAACTGACTAAATAGGTGCCTAGCGGGCCAGCTAATTAGGTATCACTCTGCACCTAAGGCTCAGAATGTAGGTAGCCCCTCCATTCTCTTGGTGTGTGTGCGGCTGTGCCTGCAACCCGCGGCCATTACGGCCACATCCCCACTACTTGTACGTATTAACCGGGAGTGGCACTTGGTTAGATGGCAAACATCGAATTCACCATCACCCGACTCGAGGTGTTCTTTTCTAGAAGGATCTTTGTCCTCACAAGGACTCGAGAGGCTCAACAACAAACAACAAACCAAGGTTGGATTTTTCCATATACTTGGTCGACTTCTACCCTCCGACTATTTGCCCGCGATTGACACCTCCCTCCGTAACTTCGCTTCGCCATGCCTATCTCCTACGACAAGTGGGATAGGCTCGAGGTATCAGACGACTCTGATGTCGAAGTGCACCCCAATGTCGACACAAAGAGCTTCATCCGAGCCAAGCAGCGCCAGATCCACGAGCAGCGAGCACAGCGGAAGCATGAGATTGAAACCCTCAAATACGAACGGATCGTCAACGACGGCCTGCTTGAACGTATCAATGCCTTACTAGACGCTCTGAAGAGACATCAAGAAGATGCAAACAAGAAGAACCCAGACGAACTAGTGTTTCAAAGTCTGATCGAGAGTGCTGGTGATCCTGCCAAAGATGAACCGCCAAAACCGCCGGAGGGTGTTTATACACACCAGAAGGAGCAGCCAAGGTATTCTAAGATGATGGGCGCCTTGGTTGATCAGGTCAAAAACGAGATCGATGAAAACAAGGCCACATCCACAGATAGATATGGAGACTTTCTGCAAGGGGTAAATGGTCATCTTAGCAAGGTTCAGAAGCTGCAGCAGGACCTGCTGAAGCGGCTGGCGCAGCTGGAGAAGGAGGTAACTGCCAAAATCACAAGCGAGGACATCCATTTCGGCTTCGATTCGTCTCACATTAACAAGCCGAAGCCAAAGGCGACCCCTACTGAGAAGCCAAAAGCTAAGGAGAAAATTAAGACTGAAAGTGTCGAGTTACTTAATGCACCTAAAGGACTAAGCTCACAAACACGGGAGGCTCTCAAGTCTGGGGAAGGCGCTGTTTCTTCCGGTGCGGAGGCGGACATTGAAGATGATGCTCTCTTAGACAAGCACGAAGACGAGGAAGAAGATGAGGCCAGCATCAAACTCACGCCAGAGGGCAAGCAGTTCGCAAAGATCAAACTTGGAGACTATCGGGCATGCCTACAATTCATCTCAGAGCATCCGGACATCGTTAATGAGAAGACTCAAGATGCACTCATGATTGAAGCCTTCAACGCTCAAATGAAAGGAGAGGATGCTTATGCGCGAACCTGCGTGCACCAGAGTCTCCTGATCCAATATTGTCGCCAACTGGGTCGAGACGGGGTTGGATTATTCTTCAAGCGCATCACCACAAAAGGCCATCAAGCAAATCAGGTGTTCAACAAGGATTTGGCTGAGACATACGGCCGCATCAAGACTCGTGCGGCCGAATTACAGAAGGAAGAAGCAAATGAGCCAGCCGGCGTGGAGCAAATCCAGCTCCATGCTGTCGAGCCTGGAACAGAAATCCACATCAACGTGCCGCAAGCTGGCTCGGATGATCCCGTCGAACAGGAGGCACGGAAAATCTTCGACCGTTTCCCGCCGGGTCTACAACGCGCGTTAGAGAGTGGCAGCCTAGACGAGGTCAACAAGGTGTTGGGAAAGATGAGTGTAGATGAAGCTGAGGAGATTGTGGAGTTGCTGGGTCAAGGCGGCATGCTCAGTCTACAGGAAGGAGTGATTGACGCCACCAACGAAGAGGGTCAGAGGAGACTCAAGGAGATTGAGGAGGAAGAGAAGCAGAGGAAAGCTGAAATGGCAAAGAGTGTCGAGGCAAAAGGTCCCGGGTTAGGGGAACCTGGTGAGGCTGTCGACTCGTGAGATGATATTTTCATGTCGCGTTGAAAAGAACCGTACCTAATTGTCGCAAATGAATATATGAGGGCTACAGCATTATACATAACGAGACACCTTTTGCGCTTAGCAGAGCAGAATGGCTTTAAAAACTCTCATCAGCCGATAGTCTTTGCCCTTCTCTCTGCTTGCAGCCGATCGTGGAATCTTTCTTGTCAGACAAAAATAGCTGTGTAATGGGGCCGCCGTAGTGGGGTTGAGGGGTTGAGGGGGGGGTCAAAGGGGGGTGTACTGGGCTCGCTGGGTACTGGGTTTGCTGGGTGTACAAGGTGCAGCAAACAAAATCCACGGTCAGACAAAATCTTTTGCCCTCCTGAAAACCTCTCCTGAGCAGCAAAGTCCTTGTCTTCTCTCTCTTGTGGTTGATGATTGCTTCTCTTCCCCTCTTCAATCCCAGCTTCTTCCACTCGTGTCCGTAAGGCATTCATCCGGCAGAAATGACCATCGAAAGGATAGTTGCCTTGGTGTGCCTTGTCAACCAAAGTTCTCTCTCGCGCTCAGCCCAACTCGATTGGCTCCGCACACAAAGTTCCTGAACTAATGCACCTTGTCACCAATGCGCAGGAGGCCGTGAGGCAGTGAGGCAGACGCTCCAAGAGCCTGGCATCCAATGGCGTCCTTCTCGGTCATCGTTCAACTTTGCTCAGCCCTTTGCAGCATTATCAGTGAATGCTAATGCTACATGTCATAATAAGATTCAAAGGCCTCCTTCACCTCATCATGGTTGTCTGTTGCTCTTCCAACACTGTTGCAAACGGACCACATGGATGTATTTCCCAGCTCACTGACCAGACATCTTTTCGCGATTACTTAGGCCATATACACTGTGTCAACCACGACCCAAGGCTACATAGCTGATATCCGATCTGGTGTCGCCAGGGCAACATGTCAAATCATGGCGAAGATATGGATACCATCGATGGGGTGGTACCTGTGTACCAGCACGCCGATCAAGTCTCCCAACCGTGGAAAGGTGTTGGACCTAGGCCTCAGCAATGGGCCAATATCAAAGATATCTTCACCCAGCTGTACATTAGTGAAAACAGAAAGCTAAAGGATGTTAGAACGATCTTGTGCAAAAAGCACGGTTTCAATGCTAGCGAGAAGATGTTCAAACGGCGAATTACAGAATGGAAGATCCACAAGAATTACAAAGCAAAGGACAAAGAATTTCTGGCGAAACGCGTCAAGGCATACGTGGATGCTGGACACGATATTCAGTCGATCTCATTCCGTGGAAGGCCACTGAAGCTTGATCGAGTCAAACGGCATTGTCGCAGCGACAAAAGGTTCACTCAACTTTGGGAACAGCTGTCCCAAAGTCCAGAATCCATTTCTCTCGGAGATATCACAATCAAGGACGAGTCGCCGTCTCTCGTCATAACCAGGTCAAGGACCCTTCCAAACTCTAGCACATCACCCGAGAAATCTGATACCTGTATGCAAGATGAAAATGGTAGCAGATTCGGCACCATGACAGTCAACATTCTCCCGCCGACTGATCTGTACAATATGCAAGCTGCCCTTTTCTACACCCGAGAGGCAGTCCAATGGCAGTTCACGACTTTCAACTGACTCAAGTTGAATGAACTGCAACGTCGATTCCCGAACTCCATTCCAGAAGAGGTAAGAGCGGGACAGACAGACCAAATATCAGCATTTTGGCTGGGTCTCTACCGTGGCTTCGAGTACCTTCAGACCGGAAGATCGCCTGATGCGTGGAGGAATTTCGACATCTGCTGTAACATGGTCCAGCCGTTGATACATTTTGCACCCCTTCAACTATTATCGTGCCTGCTGGTACACTTTGCAACTCCGTGGCCCGGCATGGCTGCACTGGAGCAGCACTTGTTATGCTTTATCTCATCCATGGCAGCAAGCGCGCTCGGAAAACACCATCCTTATGCTAAAGTTCTAAGTATGATGACTATGGCTGATCATCGAAATCATGTTATTGAATCAATGATGCAGCTGATAGTTGAAGGCTACAGCACTCGACGAAAGCCCAGCAATTCATCGCTCTTTGCCTTGCGAGTTGACCAGATTGACATGCTCCGACAACGGAAGAGCTTCCAACCTGCGCATCACATGTGCCAGCAACTGATCAAAGACAGTCAGTCAATGCATCCTAAACGGTACAGGACTGCACTGGCGGCTTTGGGAAGGCTCTATGCGGATCAAAACGAGGAGTTTGCCGTCGAGGGGGTGGCGCACCGCATCCTCCAGCATGAGACGTCAGATTCGGATTCGACAAATGGTGGAAGCGCAGCTTGGGCTTGTGATCAGCTCGCCACCCTGTGCTTGGCTCGTAAAGACTACGCACTAGCTGAGCGATATCTTCGTCGGGCGGCGTGCATGTCTTACACCAGACTCCCGCACCGTGGTCCTTCGACAGACTCTTTCGTCAAGAGGCTTGATTACTGTCTGCGGCAACAAGGCAAGAAAAGCAATCTCAGCAAAATACCTGAAGAGTTAGGAAGGGAGTTCGGAAACACCGCTCACTCATCGTAACTGGTAGTAGGCAGGTCACAGCGTTTCAATTTATTGGCGCTCCACCGGCGCGAAAACCCTTGACGTCCACAAATACGTTTTGGAAAGAAATTGAGAATAAGTTGTCTGGAAGAACCTGGACAGCATGGCAAGTCGGAGTGGACCAGTGTCTTACCCAAATAAGACCAATTCCGGCTGCGCATGCTCGAGACTGACCACCACCCTGAATCAGGAGGAAAGGCCTACCTAGCTCAAGTCATGAAGGATCTTGCGACTCAAAAGCACGTCTCAATGCTTCCTCAACCTTCGGGGACTTGCAATTTGAGCATTGCAAGCAGTTGTCCACCATACCAGAATGCCACCTTCATATTCCCGACACGCCTACTTTTGTGAACTGAAGTTCCCGGCCGTCGAAACCGTCGACATATTAAACGGCAAATCAAATTTTCACCAATGGCACTCTCAAATCCAGCCCATTCTGTTGTCTAATCCCTTTTCTTCAGATTTGATGCTCGGAACCTGGACGGAACCTCAGTCCCCTTCATCCTGGAACCCCAAACAGCAGGCATCCTTTGACGAAGAACGCAGAGAATGGCACGGTGCGAACATGGCGACCTGTCGCTTCATCCGCGCGACGTTGGCCATGAATGTGAGTCCATTTGTCCGCCAATATACTACTGCAAAAACACTTTTCTTCCACCTTGTGTGGCTTTACGGAGAAGACGCAGGGATTGATTCTCAAGGTGGCCCTCCTGTACCTGCGAACGCTGAAACTCCAAACGCAAAGAAAGGCCGTGCCAGTCTTCTGGCCGCACTGGAAGCGAAAAGAGCCATGGACTATCTGCAACCTGTCTGCGCGACCCTCAAGCCATCTGCTTCGACCTTCCCAGCTTACAGAACCAACAGCAGCAGCAACGAGGTTTCTTCCATTTCTTCGTCGGCGACAGAAGCTCCTACCTCTTATAACAAGTTACAGAAACCGCAAACCACAAAAACGGCAGAACCTGCGCAGGTGCCAGAGCAACATGCCACGCTAGTTCGTTTGCTCGAGCGGTCCCGCGTGTCTCCTAACCCCAGTTTGGAAACCATCCATGAACGCGATGAGCCCCATCCAGGAAGGCGTGTGCCGTCCGGCTATGCGATAGATTTCGACTACGATCTTTCCAGGGGAGATCGAGACCGGTCCGGCAGGAGCATCAGCCCTTTTTCTCGGACTGACTCGGGCAGTGAATATGACGATGATGAGGTGCGCCTTCTCCCCGCGGAGCAAATGACAAGTCCATCACTGGTGTTGTCTATATCCAGGACCGCTGACTCATGGGACCAGAATCAGGATGAGTGCCACCTCGAAGACATCGACGTCGCTGAATCCGCATCGCGGCCAAAGAAGGGTCAAGTCTCTCATCCGGACCTGGAGCTCAGGCCAGCAAAGACAAGCATTACCTCCATTCTAAAGACCGTCACGGCAAACAAAAAAGCGAGGAAGCGGGACAGATTCTCCTTCTCGTTCCCTCTGCGCCGGTTAAGTACGGAAAGGGAGAAATCCAGGAGCAAAGGCAAGGGCAAAGCGCGGGCTTGACCAACTGGGACGAATATACGATGGCAAACTTTGGCAGTTGATCTGGATGAAGTATGCAATATGTCGAGACAGTATTGATTTTCCTAGGACGGGAGGAGAATCATGTCTGTCGTTGATCAGCTCGGAAAGGTTTTTTCCATGGATCTATTTATTTCGGGGCGGAGCAGAGCAGAACAGAGCGTAACAGAACAGATAGGAAGTGGACAAGCTTCAACTTCTAGGATTCGTCCCGCCATCATTTCTATCCCCCGTCTCCCTAATTATCTAATTGCACGGTCAAGCAAGATCATCCCTCTAGCCATCACCAGTCCAGCCGTCCCCCATCATCCCCATCCCGTTGATGCCCTCGCCCTCCTTCCCTCTCCTTGCCGACAAACAGCCCATAGAGCCCGCCGCCGACGTTGTTCCGCACGGTCTTCCATCCGCCCTGTTCGCCGTCGTCCCGCTCTTTCATGTAGTGGCTCAGGTCCGGCGAGAGCATCGCTTCCGAAACCAGCACCGGAGTGGTGTACCGCGCGCCGAACCAGGATACGCCGTCGTCCTCTTTGCTCTTCTCCGTCGGGCCAGATCTCGCGGCACGATTAGAAGACCGTCTCACCTCTTCTTTGGCGGCCTCGCCGTCGAGTTCGGCCCCAACACCACCGGCAGCGACGACGATGTTCTCCTTTTTTGGACGTCGATCAACCCTCACGCCCTGCCGCACAGCCTTGCTGACGTCCTCGTCGAAATAGTTGAACGGCATGAACACGACGGAGCTCGCGCTGGTGTGCATCAGCGTGTTGGGGATGTCCTGGCTGCTGGGCACGTGGTGGCCGCCCAGGTTGAAGTACACGACCAAATCCTCCTTCTCCACAACCTCACGGTCGGCGACCATCTTTGCAAAGTCCACGAGCGGCGACAGCGGCTCGAGCGCGTTGAGGTGGTGCGCCGAGCCCGGTTCGGTCGAAGGGTGGTTTCTCAGGATCCACAGGTCCGACGACGACCACGGCGCCGAGGCGCCCAGTGCTGTCGAGTTGACGATCGTCAGGCGCGCTGGGTTGCCCATCCCTGTGCCTGGCAGGATACGGTAGGCGCGAGTCTCGCCCCATTTGTTCGTGTCGTTCGGCGCGGTGATCAGGTACATTTCCCCGGAATTCTTCGGCCAGTCGAGCCCTGTCTCGTGCGTGACGGGCCTGTGCACCATGTGCATTGTATTCCGCAACCCAGGCACTTCGGGTCTATCCCAGTGGTAGGTTCTCTGGAGGGGTTCAATCGACGTGCGCACGACGGTGTTGGCGGTGCCGCAGATGTCAAAGTCGGCGCGGAAATTGACGACGTGGTCGTGCATGGAGGTGTGCAGGGCAGGGTGGACGCGGTAGCCGTATTCATTCGCGGACGAGTCGCGTTGTGGGAGCGGCGGGAAGGAGAACGAGGTGGAGGAGCGTGGCTCCGCGTGGAATGCCCCGAATATGTAGCCGCTGGCCCTGAGCTTGACCTCGACAGAGCCGTCGAGGTAGAAGATGTAGTCGATCTATTGATCGGCACACGACATGTCAGAGAAAGGAAACTCTCTAGATGAGGCTGAAGAAAACAAGGGAGGGCTGCTGGCCGTTGGCTGCTGTCTGGAGGGAGGGGACTTACCGTGTAGTCATAGTTCCCGACCGTGCTCACACTCCTCACCACGAGGTAGGTGTTTCTGCTGACGGTCGCGCTGAACGCCGACGTGTGTCTCTGCAGCGGAGCGTCCGATGTGTATTCAAAGACGCAAATGGCGTTCCGGTTCGTGTACATCTTCCCGCCCCGGTGGTACGACATATCCATATACTCGGCGTGGCCGGGGCAGTCCAGCCCCGGCACGAGACTGAACATCATCTTGCCCATACCGAAGAAGGTGTCCAGAAAGTGTAGGCCAGATTGCATGGGTTCGACGCCAGCGTAGTGGGCCAGTGCCTCTTGCAGGCCGAGTTGGTAGATGATCCGAGAATTGTTGTAGCGGATGTCGAAGAGCGACAGGGCCGTCGCCTGCGAGGTCGAGAAGTAGAACGAAAACCCCATCCAGGAGAGGTAGTTCTCTGACCGGTCGAGGCGGTACCGCGGGCCGTAGGGCTGGATGGAAACCGGAGGCGGCATGTCTCGTTCTGGGGTCGAGGCGGTGAAATCTTCAGTATCAGTCCACGCGCCGTCTTCGTTGACAGTGAGGCGTTCAAACCCTGGAGATGCCATGGCTCCTCGGAGCATCGTGACATTGTCATAGAGGATCCCATTGTAGAACCACTCGCCCGTCGTCCAGGTCTCGGGGCTCGCGCTGGGCAGGTTCAGCTTGACGTACAGCCCCTGGGGCAAGAGGCTGCGGCCGTCGGATTTCATGCCCGGACCGAAAAACTCCAACCAATGTACCATACGGCCTGAGTCGATGAGAGCCGGTCTGGAACCCATGACCAATCCATTGGGATCGTCAGGATCGTGCCGGTTAGTCTTCGCGCCCAAAAGGTCCAGAGTAACATCAGACGCATCCTCGCCGATGGACAGCGCCCATTCGAGCAGAGCAAAGACATCGGAGATGGGGCTTTGGACATAGTTGCGGCCAGAGTTGTGGCAGTACGTCAAGGGCAGGATTTGAGTCTCATTGGACGGGGGCAGGGGCCCGACCATATATTCGACAATAAAAGCGTCGTCGTCCTTGGTCTCGACAACCGAGAGGCGGGCCCAGCGGTCCGGGATAGGGCCATTGTGGTCCAGATAGTCGACGACACTGGATTTGTTGGGTCGTAGAAGTTCGATCAGATTCAGCGGGCTGCTTCCTCGAGCGCCGGTCGAGTTGAATATATTGGTGTTTTCATGAAGCCATATATATACCTGCGATGCCTCAGCTTCGTCCAATTCCGTCCAGGGATTCTCTGCAGGAGCTTGGAAGTGTCTGTGAGGATGCTTGGATGAAGCAGACGAGTAAAAGGGTGGTTGCCTGATCGGGCCAGAAGTGGAGGCCGAGAGAAGTAGGAGATAGGCGAGGCTGCACAAGATAACGGCGGCAGAGATGGAAAGGCCCAACAGCCTCCACGACGCCATGGTGGCAAACCTCCCGACTGTCTTACACGAGAGAGAGAGAGACAGAAAGAAGAAAGAGGACAACGGCCACGACAAAGTATCTGTCCGTGGGATCTCGTGCTGATAGACATCAAGCGGAGATGCCCTGATATATACAGGCACGGCGGGCTACAGTCTCCCTGTGAGGTATAGCTTCGTGTTTAGCCTGGGAGTGGGAGTCGTGCGTGCACAATTCATGTACTTGTACATATCTCGACTAACGTGGGATGCCGCCTGGCGGTCCTGAGGTGCAATTATCTTCCCGTATATCTGCTCCGTACAATATCTTCTTTACGTTGCAACAATCCCGTCAGGCACTCGAAACTCTTTTGCGATTTCGTCCTTGTTGACCCCCTCGCCATCTCCGTTTGTTGTCACGACCTTGTCCTCGGTCACTATCAATTTCTCGCCCTTTTCCAACGGCTCGTGTGTGAAGCGAGTGTTGTTTAGATACCATGTCAAGCCTTCGACGTCGCCCGCCCTCTCCGCCGCCGCCCATCCGTCGCCGAACCATCCAAATTCGTTTCCATCAGCCGGAGTCATTTCAAAGTCGTCGAACCGCACCTTCTCAAGCGCCTTGACGGCGTGGATGCTGCTCCCGGGCCATAAGGCGGTCACTCGACCTCGCTTTCGCTCTTCTGCTGTCGCATTTGGAGGTGACGACTTGTACCAACTCCCGCATTCGGCCGAGAAGACCGTGCGCTTGAAGAAGGCATCACAGTAATTCGTAAAGTTCTCCACAACTTTCCTCTTGGGCTCAATTGTCTTGGTGTTTCCTTGTCCAAGTCTCTGGAGGATTTGCCCGACATAGTTTGCGATGGCTTCGATGATGATCAGGAGATTGCCGTTGCCTACACCAGCATTGGGGCCAAGTGACTGGAAGAAATTGGGGAACTGGTCGGTGCAAAGACTGAGGTATGTTTCCGGCCGTTCTTTGTAGCGGTCTTGAAGGTTGATTCCGCCACGCCCATATATGGGAAACCGACCTTGGAAAGACGTGTCGAAGCCCGTGGCACAGACGATCGCCTCGACCGGCCTATGTTTCCCATCAGTAGTCACGATACCGGTCTCATCGATATGCGAGACCTTGGTTGGGATCACGTTGACGTTGTCGGCAACCAGGGCTTCAAGATATCCAGGACCAGGAGTGAGTCGCTTGCAGAGAGGTGGGAATTCGGGGATGAGGTGTTCCGCAATCTCTGGTTTCTTTTCCAACCGATTCCTCATGTCTTGGTTGAATACTGACCACGCGCCTTCGTGCTCTTTGGTTCCCCGGTGCGTCAGAGCAAAGCAGCCTTGCATGCCGATTTCGAGGGCCTTGCGATACTTGACGTAGGATTCGGGGTCTTTTTCCCAAGCCTCCATTTCGTCCTGAGTGTAATCAAAATTCCCATCCTGTCCATCATTCCGCTCCCGAACGAGTTCATTGCCAAATGACGCCGCGATCCACGTCCGACCACGCACATAATGGTCCATGGATTTGACTTTGGGCTGCAAGTTGGCGACGATCTGAATACCACTACTGCCGGCGCCAATAACTGCAATATCCTTGCCCTTCGATATCAATCAGCAAGAGAATGTAAATCAAAAGATGGGGGGCAACTGACCGATATGTCGTAATCAGAATCCCAGTTTGCGCTATGGAGCAGCTTCCCCTTGAAGTCGTGGAGGCCTTTGATGTCTGGCCATTTCCATTCGTTGAGAACACCAATGCCGGTCATGAAGACGTCGCCGATGTCCTCCACAACCTCATCGGTGTCTAATCTTTGGAACTTGACGTGCCATTTCGAGGTTCCCTCATTCCATCGAGCTTCTACACACTTGTGGCTGAATTTCATGTATTTCTTGACGTCGTATTTTTCTGCGACCCTTCTCCAGTACTGGAGGATTTCTGGAGCGTCAGCGTAGAATTTGCTCCAGTGAACTTCTGACTCGAAGCTCAGTTGGTATGAATGAGCAGGAATATCTGTGCCTTTTGTCAATTTTTAGTCATTGCCCAGACCGAGTTTTACATACCACAGGCACACCCGGGGTACCTATTCTCAAACCAGGTACCTCCCACATCTGGGTTCTTCTCATAGATTGCAAGTTCCACTGTTGGTAAGAACTTGGGAAACTGGATTGCGGCGCAGATTCCTGAGACACCAGCACCGATATAAATGACTTTGAGTGGCCTCGGCTCGTCGATTGCTCTTTCCGATATCAAAGGATGAGCGTATAGGTCATCCGACACTTTGTACCCAATTGATCCCATCTTGACTGAGCTCTCCACGCAAACGATGGTAGATGTGGCGAACCCCTCAGAGCAAGGTCCAAGAATGACAATGAAGGTGATACGCAGTAGGTAGAATCCCTGGTATGCTCACGGATCAAGGGCAGCACTCTAAATCTAAGGGACGAGGGAGCGGGGAGGAGCAAAAACAGGCTGAGAGATCGAGAGACAAGGAGCAGAGGGGATGCTATTAGCTATTTATTGTCTCACCGCGTAATCTCCAAGAGGAAGGTGTATTCTCGCCATATCAACCTTCCCGTAGGCCAGAGCTCCAGTCCCATAGATCTGCCGGGAGCAAGGGGATCATAAGACAGTTGCAATACGAATTCTAGCTCGGTCTCCAGGAGCAGCTCGAACCTGAAAGGGAATCTCAAGAGGCCCCGCCCCCCTGGGGAAGGGATCGTGCGGGAAAATCGCCATTCAGTTGAGGGGCCAAAGGCTCTACAGTAGAGTACGGACAGAGCACATACCTAGGCAGATGGACTCGGTTGTTTGTGGGTGTATGTGGGTGCATGGTCTCCACGAGGCACGAGCTGGATTCTCGGTGCATTATCCGGCTACCTTACGAGAGGTTATCCCCATAGTGGGCTCTCAAGTGCGCACGTCAAGGTCGCCAACTGCGTGCGCAAGGGCGCTCTCCGCGGCATTGAGGATGGCACGGTGGGCTTGGTGGGATTTTTCCAGCGGTTTTCTGGCGAACGAGGTTCGGCGCCAAAGTGGAAATGGGTTGAGGTGTTCTAAGTGTCCTTGGGTGTTCTAGCATCCGGCGAAGTTATTATCAATCCTCTTTATCGTCAGACGGACACTTTCCGTTTTGTAAAGGTGCGTTTTTCTGGCGGCGTCGAAGGCTGAAATGCGATTTGAAGCTGGAGAGGAATCAGCTGCGAACCCTCCACAGGAATATCCCTATCCTTGATTTGATATATCTCTGATCTCTTATGAGCCGATGGCATTCCCGACGCTTGTGGCGTCAGACTCACTGTGGAGGGGCCCGAATTGCGGAATTGCATCGCATTGAACAGGACCACAAGTAGTAACAGAATCAGCTCCACATGCTAAATGTTGTTGAGTTTGCGCCTTGCATGTGAATTGTACCAAGTATGTATGTGTTCAGAAGATATCTCACTCCACTGGCTGATTGGCCATTGGGGGGATCGAGGTTTTGTCCCAGCGCGCCAGGTCCAGAAAATTTCGCTTGATACAAGCGCTTTCAAAGGCCTAAACACGACCGGAATTTCTCAAGCTAATCTTTTCCTGGTATTTGATTGTCAATTGCAAGGCTTCGATGAGTTTGGAGGTGAAAAGGGAGTGAGAAGCGACTAGCAAGGTAATGTACCGGAGGTGGCTGCCATCTCATATGTTGGCGATACCACCCCTAGAGTCATTCAGTGAATACGATAGCCTCGCTACCTAGCCAGGCAAAAAAAAAAAAAAAAAAGCTACGCACTAAAACGGAGCGTATTTTGAAGGGTTCTAGACAAAGTGGCTACCGGATCCAATGTTGTCAATGGACGAAATATATCTCTCTTGCGAGAGATGCAAAATGGCAGGCAACACCCTGAGAGTGCCAAGGCACGCCGTCGGACACAGATGGCGGACGCACCGAAGGTTTCCTCAAGCGACAGAACAAGGACCTGTCGAACTGGTGGCGCGATATTGCAGACCTTCCTTTCCGTAATAGTAATACTACGAGGTTTAATCGCAAGGCTGGGCAAGGCTGGGTACCCAGTACAGGGCTCCTGAATACCAGAGGGTCGTTGAGAACATAGAGCACGAACCACAGCGATACTGTTGCAATGTCCATGCCTTCTTGGAGTGATTGAATATGACAAGGTAATCCATTAAGACTGACTGAGTTCTTCAGTGCTCTATCTTGTCTATGCTCTATCGTGAGGGTATCAGAAAATCTGTCTCTATTTCCCTCTCCAAGCGGATTTGTTTTGCATGGTTCCATAAACTCCGGGCACTCCTTTTAGACAGCCATTATTCGTTTCAACACCTCCCGATGCACCTTCAAGCCGTAAATCATGGAAAAGTATTCGTGTCAGCATCTAGTCGTCCTCGTCCGAGAAGACTTCTTCGCCGCGCTTTCTCCGGGCCATCCGTTCCTTCTTCTTCTTTCTCAGTTCAGATGACGTCAGCTTCTTCGCTTTCTTGTTGCCTTCGATCTTGTTGCCCTAAAAAAAAGCATTAGTCTTTGTCTCGACAATATACTCGGTCTAACGTACCATAGCATCGAACTTCTCCTCTTCGTCGTCATCCTTTGCGGTCAAACGAGGACCAGAGCCTTGCCCTTGCTAAAATAAAGAGTTAGTATATCTCAACAATGACAATTCAAAAGCGAATTTGACTTACAATCCAGTTGTGTCCACTAGGAGTCATCCGGCCGTTCATGACACTCCAAACTTCTTCGGTCAAAGACTCGGTGAACTCGGCGTTGTGGGAGATGATCACGACACCACCTTCAAACTCCTTCAGAGCCTTCGAAAGAGCGCCCAGCGAGTCGCGGTCGAGGTAGTTGGTAGGTTCATCCAAAACGATCAAATGAGGGCGTTGCCATGTGCAAGCGGCAAGAACGACCTTGACACGCTGACCGCCAGATAGACCACGCATGCGGGAGTGGGAGATCAATTCAGCATCAAGGCCGAAGTTGGCACCATGTGCTTCAATCTCCCGTCGGATCAGAGGTCGGAATTGACCACTGGCCAAAGCTTCCTTCTGATCAACCTCGGCGACCATCTTCTGATGGGATTGCAGGATCTCGGAACGGGGAATCCAGGCATTGTCGGCAGTCATCATGGGAATCCATTTTTCGTTCTTCTGGCCAACGTTTTCACCAAGAGCGAACGAACACTCGTATTCATACGAGTTCTTGAACTTCCTTCGGGCGTGGATACCGATCACGCGTCGCTGAGTGCCATCGATCTTGTAAATCTTGTCCATAGCTTTCTCATCATCTTCAGTGACGATCTTGTTTGCACGATCCATGGTTTCACGGTCCTCGCCTGTCTGGAATCGCCATTGGATGTACTCTGATGGGGTCTTGTCCAAATGGTTATCAATGTGAGCGAAGGCGTGCTGTTTGATATAGGCGATACGAATATTCTCGTGCTGGTAGATCTCACCAGATGTAGGGATCAATTCACCGGTGAGAACGTTGACAAGAGTAGACTTGCCAGCACCGTTGGGACCGATGACCGCGATACGAGAACCGAGAGATACCTGGAAAGTAATATCCTGAATCTGAGGTTTGTCGGTTCCTGGGTACTGGAAGGCCATCTTGTTGACACGGACAATAGCCTTAGCCTTGGTCTTGACACCTTCGAGGAAACCCGGTTCTGGGAACTTGAAGGACAATTCGGAAGCACCGAGCTCGAAGTAGGAGCGAGCAGATGGCACTCGCTTGGCGAACTCGGTCAAATTGCCACGGTATCTGCGCAGCTTGAAGCGTTCGTAGTGGATGACGTGCTGAATGACGTTGTTCAGGAACTTGGAATCGTGGGAGACAATGATGGAGGTGCAAGGGGAGTTGATGAGGTAGTCCTCCAGCCAGGCAACGTTCTTCACGTCCAAGTGGTTGGTAGGTTCATCGAGCAGGAGGATATCGGGGTTTTCGAACACAGCACGGGCAAGAGCCAACTTCATCTTCCAGCCACCAGAGAGCGAGGTAATAGGGCCCTCCATCTGGGATTCAAGAAAACCGAACTCCAAAAGCTTGGCCTTGATATCAGATACAGGCGTGTCAATACCGACGGATCTCAGCTTCATCTCGGTCCAGCCCATGACAGTGAGTTCCGTATCGGCAGCGTCCAGGTCGTGCTCAACGAAAACGGTCTTGACTTCGGACTGCTTGGGGAAACCTTCGACTTGCTCGTTGTTGATAGCTCGCATGAGAGTGGATTTACCGGAACCGTTGGGACCGAGCAGACCATAACGCTGGCCACGCTTGAGGCGCAGGGTAGTCTGGTTGAGAAGGATTTTAGCACCATAGGCCAAGTTGAATGTACAGTTGCAGAGGTCTTCACCCTCCTCCTCATCTGGTTCGGCATCAGGTTCGTCCTCAATCCCAGGGGAAGCACGCTTGCGGAGAGACTCGGCAACTGCTTTGGCGTCGGCTTCACCGACAATAGTCTTGAGATACTCGACGGTATTGGAAACCCAATCGGGTTCATCGATGACCTTCTCGTCGATCAACTGGCCTGCAATGGCAGCGACGTAGTCAATGACAGTGTCAGCCTTTGAAATGGCACCCTTGTGCTTTTGTTCGATGATTTCCTTCAAGATCGGGACGACAGTGGCAATTTCACCAGCGTTCGAGATTTTAGGGAAGGAGCCATCTTCCTTGACTGCACCGACACGCTTGAGAGTCTCCAAGCCCTGCTTGGTTTTTTCACGAGCCTCGGGATCGGCCATGTTCTCGTAGTTCTTCGTAAGCGCAGGCATCAACTTGGGCAAGAAAGCTGCGACGATTTGAGGGTCTTCGACCAGTTTGCACATGTTGTCCACAATGACTGCAGACTTTCGCTTAATGGCAGTGTCGCGCTCGGCGAGGCCGCGCTCAAGTAGAGGAACCATAATGGCCAAAGTCGGCTCATGGACATCGGTCACGAAAGTGGTAGCACCAAGCAAGTGGACAGTCTCGGGGACATTCTCAGGTTTAGAGATACACTTGATGAGCTCAGGAATGAATTTCTCGATATCCTTGTTTTCGATCAATTTGCAGATCTTTTCCATTGTGCCATATGCCTTCTTCTTGACTTCGGGCTTTGTATCCCACATTGACTCGGACACGATCGGAATGAGGGTAGGGACAAGGAAGGAGAGCTGAGTGGGAGCGGTTTCGACGAGAGCCTCGATGCAGTCGAGACCGGTCATCTTCTCGGGCCATTTCTGGGCCGTAATGATGGAGTTTCGGATGTGAGGAAGGGCGACCTTGACCGCGTTGGGGTTGATGGCTCTAACGATGGCAAGAGATGCGGCCT